TATATATATATATATATATATATATATATATATATATATACATGATTCTACGTTCCTGACGCAAGCACCTCTTTCGGGAATAAGAAGTAGTATTTTATTATGAATTTGAAAATTTTTCTCATTGTTAAGTATATCACTGTCATCAGAGATAATCAAAGTTCATTGGTTTTTGGATACTTTGTATAGGTGTACTAATTATACGCTTGTCGAATTCGGATACAGTGAATTTGAGAAATGAAGGTAGTCTGAGCGTTGGTTAACTTTGTTGTTTATACTTTTTTTGCGTTATCATTTATGATTCGAAATGTTTTTTCTTCAGTCGGTTAACGGATCAGGTGACCCACGTAGCAGAATCGTGTTGCTAATTTTTAGTTTCCGCTCGAACCCCGAACTAAGCGGTTCATCCAACAAATGTGTTAAGTTCACACTGTAAACACAAGTGCATAAGTATACTTGTAAACATAAATATTTCATTTATAACCTTAAATTTCCTTCATTGGTGTATAGTGAAGTGCAGTGCTGGTATAGTGAATATTGTGTAGTGTGAATTAAAATTTGATTAGCAATGTGCATTAAAAAATTTTTGAAAAAAGTATGTTAGTTAGAATGTTTGTGCGCGTTTAAGTGCTTGTATGCCGTTTGACGGTATCCAAATTATATGTATGTACATACGCACGGCTTGTCGGCTTCAGGCGGCTAGCTCTTACCTCTTAGCTATCAGAAGCAGAGCAACATCAAAATATTCTCCATTAGCTGCTCAATACGCAGATTCTTGATTGATGCAACGATGCTAATCATCTACAGGAACACACACATATATGTATGTATATACAGTATCTGTAGATTGCGTAAATTCCTGCAGAGTTTCAGACAGTTGATCGTTGATCATCATGGAGCCATTTTCATTGTATTGCATGGACCTCACCCCTGATTTTGAAGATAATACGACGACCGGTAAGTCTTTTCTGTTTTGATTGTTTGCATGCATTTTTGCATTATTTATTTAAATATTTGTAAATAAGATTCGGAGATGGAACTGTATTATGAGGAGAAGAAAGTTAGCTGATAGGTTGTTTTCTTACATATCCACTCATCCCTTATTGGCCTTACCCTTTTGTAAGTAGGTATATTGTTTATTGAAAATCAGTTGAATTGGTAAAAGTTTACCACAATGACTTATTTTTATTGATATTTAGCTAGAGTGAGTCAAGTTAATTATGATTTTTCCAGTGGTATTGTCCTGAATACGTTTAGAATCAGTTCTTTTTTCAAAGAGCAAATAGAATTTGTTATCAAGACATTTTAAGAATGAGTTGACAATGTAATTTTGGCGATATTATGTTGAAACATACACTGATTAGGATTAAACAGATAAGGCTGTCTTGTGTACTTCCTACTAACTGTTGTAGATTGGTTTTTTTGGTTTCTGCGAACAAGATTGCATTAAAGTATTTGTATACTCAAAATGTAAAAGTACGTTGCAAAGAATGCCAGCATGTCAATACTTGATATAAAATTAAACACTACTTTAAGTAGAAATCTGTGTTGATTGTTAAACTAAATTAGTGATATTATTTCAGTAGGTTTGTAATAAGTTGTCTGTTCCCAAAGATGTATAAAATAAACACCTGTTGAAGGCAAGAGTTGCAAATATGCCATAATGAAAGAAAAACATATAGGGTATTATTAACAGTACAAATTTATGTTTCCCTGTAAAGTTGGGTACCTACTAAGTAGAAATTTCTTAAACTATTTATGCAGAAATATTTTCTTACAAACGACGGGTTTAGATATAAAATACTTATGCGCAACTGTCAAAATGCGGTTCACGTCGATGCGTCTGTATTCGATAGCGCCTACAATCGACTATCGATTGAGTGTTCAATCTTTCGATTTTTTTATTGTTGTCATACGGAGTGTAAAAAAACTGTCGACGACGACGTGCCGACCAACAACAGAGTTGGGGCCAAAACATTCAAATAATGGGTGATACTTCAACGTGAATCCAAACAATCAGAGCCTGAAGATGGGTTTCTTCGAGGATACGTTTATCATTCTCATTACCCAGGTTTGACACTTGAATTTACGTGCTTCTTTCGAGTTTTAACCTTAAAGCACGGAGATAACGGTTTATCGTTTCTGTCTGCTAGCCGATACGTTATTTTGTTTACACTTTTGACAGAACCTTTTATTTTTTTTAACTATGATAAGTTGAATGCCCTCGACAATTTTTATTTGTTTTTCGAAATGTCATCCGTTTTTATTGTGAACAAAATGCAGAAATACTACCTTCCTATTGCATCAGTAGTTTAAAATCTGAATTTTTCGCCAACGTTTTTTGTTTGTAATAAGTTGAAAAAATTTTTTTAGATATTTTTCTTCTTAGGAGGATGGGTATTTTTTGTGAAACAGCTGTTTCGAGACTACGAGGTCCATCACAGTCTCGTTCAGCTGATTTTTTCTACTACATTCTCATTGTCCTGTACAATGTTTGAATTAATTATTTTTGAAATTCTCGGAGTACTAGAGTCCAGGTAAGTTTCAATATTCAAATGTTTTTTATTGTTAGTTAATCTTGTTCATGTTGGAAAAAATTTTAATCGTTTCCAAATATTAGCTCCAGGTATTTTCATTGGAATGTTGGTCTCTATTCTCTGTTGTTTATGGTAATAGTTTTAATACCATTTTATATTGCGTATTTTATCATAAGCAATATTAGACTGAGTAAGTATTATTGGATTGCTGTTAATCATGTTATGTTTTTCAGTAATTTTATGTCATTAACAATTTTTTGTTTCCACTTGCAGTAAGACTGAACCTTAAAAGGCCTTTAACAATAATGATCTACTTCGTTTATTTATACTTTTTCTGGAAATTGGGCGATCCATTTCCTATTTTAAGTCCAAAGAAGGGCTTACTATCGATAGAGCAAGGAGTCAGTAGAATAGGTGTTATAGGAGTTACAGTGATGGCTCTTTTGTCTGGCTTTGGTGCTGTAAACTATCCATACTCCTCCATGGCCTATTTCATGAGACCAGTGTCTTATGCCGATGTTCAAGCAACAGAGAGGAGACTCCTCCAGACCATGGATATGATTGTTGCTAAGAAAAAACGTATTGCACTAGCAAAAAAAGGAGAAATCAACAATGTAACAGTTGAATCGAGATCAAGATTGTGGGGTATGCTGACTCCCTTGAACGCCATGAAAGGAAACCAAGAAAGTATGATTTAAGAATGAAAATTTTCTCCACAATAAACAAATTTCGTTTACATCTATTTATTTTAGATGTAAAACAACTTCAGCAAGAAGTAAAAGCTTTGGAAGAACTGTCTAGGCAATTATTTTTAGAAACCCACGATATTCAAAATGCTAGAGAACGTTTAGAATGGGCTGCTACGTGGAAGGGAAAGTACTTTAATTTCTTAGGGTACTTCTTTTCTATTTATTGCATGTGGAAAATTTTTATTGTAAGTACTTCTTTTATTATACCAAGAGCACTCGATTGTACGAGATAAACACTCACTGATAAAATTACTTTTTAGTCAACGATAAATATAGTTTTTGATAGAGTTGGTAAGAAAGATCCTGTTACCAAGGGTATGGAGATAGCCGTGCACTGGATCGGTATTAATATTGATGTGACGTTTTGGTCTCAGCACATATCGTTTTATCTCGTCGGCTGTATCGTCGTTACGTCAATTCGAGGGTTACTGTTGACATTAACAAAAGTAGCAATTTTTCTTATTTCATTTTCTCTTGTACTTATGATAAGGTGTAATCCAAACGTTTCTTATTAAATAATTTCAGTTTTTCTATGCGATATCAAGCAGCAAATCATCAAACATTATCGTGTTGATTCTCGCCCAAATAATGGTAAGATATCTTGTATTATTTACAATCAATTCATAAGAATAATCTTGATCTACTAAATTAATTTTATGTGAATTTTTTAAATTTGTTATCTTAACATCATTGATTATCTGGTTCTATTTTAAACGGTATTTAAAGATTTAAAAAATCAGTACCTCGAGTTGAGAGCCATAATGAGGCCAAAAATCTTTTTCAGGGAATGTACTTTGTCTCGTCCGTATTACTGATGCGAATGAACATGCCAGCAGAGTACAGGATAATAATAACCCAAGTGCTAGGTGATTTGCAATTCAACTTTTATCACCGATGGTTCGATGTGATATTCCTTGTCTCTGCTCTCTCGTCCATTGGCTTTTTGTACTTGGCGCACAAGCAGGCGCCAAGCGAACGTGCCTAAAAATTTTTCATCGGACGAACCGTCCATGTAATTACCTTTTTTTTTTTTTTTTAAGGGAATATAAAGAAATTTTAGGTGGTCTCTCCTGCCAAGTTTTTATTGCCACCAACGGAATTAAGTTTTTTGTACATTCCGCGCTTGATTTTTTTTCCCTCTGATAACTGCAATAAANTTTATAGAGGACGAATATTTTTAAAATAAATTTCGTTTGTAAAATCTGTAAATAATACATGTAATATAAAAATTTATCATTTGATTGTATAAAAAAAATTATATTTAATTACACATGCAATTGAATTATTTAAATGGTTGGGAAAAGTAATGAATTAGAATGAAATACAGTCTATTTCTAACTGACATCATGTAATAATTCCTTTTATTTATTATAGTAACAGGTATGTATGATTAAACAATATTTTAGGTGTCTAAATTTACCATACAAAAATTTCACAAGTCAGGAATGATTTGTTTCCATCATACGGAAATCGGTAAAAATTCAAAAAACATGTTTGCAATATCATATATTTTTTCTGGCAAATTCATTATAAACTATACAAATTGCCTCATCAAAGTTAACTATTTACTACATTCCTCAACACTCCCAAAAAAAAAAACAAAAAAGTTAGATTTCTTTACTCACAGCTTACATAAATGGTAATATTATTGCATTCATCTACTTAAAAACTAGAGCACATTTGTATTCTTTGTGAATCGATACTGGCATATAAAAATGTAAACTATCTCAAATTCTATGAGAAAAAAAGAGTAAATGTATGCTTAACTAGTGTTTCCAAGTGCTATGTGTAAAAATGAGTGCTTTGGAGGCATTTTATTAGTTTCATTTAAATATCTACATAAGCTGCTATGCTTCTTATGTAGCTCATTAGTTTATGTACTGAATCACAGTTTGAAAAAACATTCTGTTTTACACCGTTTATTTGATACATTAGCTCTCTTACTTTTATTATTTTTCTCAGTAAAATAGGTGCGTGTAAAAAGTCTCTAAAAACCATTTTTGGCCTCCGTTGTTCTTTAGTTTCTTCAATTGTTCATGGAGTTTGACTTGTTTAAGCTATCAAATCGATGATCCATTCCTCTCCCATTTTCACTGTTGGCTTACGTACCGTTAGAACATTGTTGTGTGGATTATATTTTGTTTCCAGATCAACATTGCCCATGGCTGAAAAAAAAAATATGAAATTTTTATCAGTAATCTACTGCACAGTGATATAAATAGAGTAGCTAAAAAAAAAAAAAAAAAAAAAAAAGAAAAAAAAAAAAGAAATGCCGATCCGTAAAACTCGCGCAGCGTGTAATCCACCTATGGGGCCGATCGATCGAGGAACAANAAAAAAAAAAAAAAAAAAAAAAAAAAAAAAAAAAAAAAAAAAACAAATTTACCTTTAGAGTGTAAGACAGCCTTCTTGATATCCTTGGGTGGGTTAACAATGTCAACTCTCTCGAGCGAGCTCTTGGTGTCATATGTAGCGAGATTTTCGAGGAACGTTGAAGTAAGCTTCTTGCCATCAAGCTTGATCCTGAGATATAGATATTTACCGTGCCTGTATTCAAAACTCGACTCATCATCGATATACAAGTTGCCTTGGGCTCGGCCCTCTCCATCAGCAATCACGACCAAGGTGTACGGGTCATTTCTCATAGCAACTGTGCTACGCCTGATACGCATTTTCCTGGGTACAATGGTACCTTCACGTTGGAACACGGGGATGCGGTGAATCGTCACCGAGACACTGTCTATCTGTTTTCCAAGGTACATCTTGTACGTCTCGATGTCATACCATGCGACCTTACCCTCGCCTGGGAAGTATACTGAAACTTCACTCACTGCAGGCTGGTATATTGACCTTACGAGAATAGCATCGCCTACGAGGATCTGGTCGTCAATAGTAAAGGCCGATATTTCAGTGGGATAGTGCGCCCAGATCGGTCTGATGACTGGGGTGCCATTGACTTCGTGTTCACGGAACAGAGTGTACCAGTAGGGTAGATAAGAGTATCTCAGTCTCAAGGTGTCCCTCGCATTGTTTAGCAAATCGTCGTTATAAGTCCAAGGCTCGCGGCGTTTCGTGTCTATGTGTGCGTGCTGACGGAAGAACGGCAACCACGCTCCAGCTTGGTACCATCTGGTCAGAAGCTCAGCGTCAGGATTCTTGAAGAAGCCACCGACATCAGCGCCGCAGAATGATATGCCAGAAATGGCCAGCGAAAGACACATTGGGTACGAGATTCGCAGGTGTTCCCACTCTGCCATGTTATCGCCCGTCCATACAGCTGCGAAACGCTGTGAGCCGGCAAAGAATGCTCTGTAAATGTTAAAAAGTTGCAAAAATAATAACTTTGCCGGTTGAATAACGTGTATATAAATTTAATTTGTCAAACCTAGTTAGAACAAAGGGTCGAAGAGCTCCGCCGGAACGTTTGAAAAGCGCCTCATACGTGGACATGGTGTAAACCAAGCCATAAATATTGTGAACATCTCGATGCTCCCAGTTTCCGTAGTGCACAAGGTCTTTGGGCATAGTGATTTCAGGCCCGTTGAAGACGGAGGGTTCGTTCATATCGTTCCAAATGTGAACGTCGTTGGTTGTACCCTCAAACTTGCTTATGTCATAGAGACCGGAGTAGTATTCGCGAACTTTGGGGTCGAAAAAGTCGAGGTACGAGGACGAACCGGGCCAGCACCAGCCCTCGTAGTCCTTGCCGTCCCTACTCTTGACGTAATAGCCGTTGTCGGTGGCGTCGTTGTGAAGGAAGTAGTCGCTGGCACGCTTAATGTGAGGATCAATGATTACTACAAGTTTACGACCTTTTTCCGTCAAATTCTTGACCATTTCCAGAGGATGGGGGAACTTGAGCTTATCCCACGTGAAATATCTTTTGCCATCTGTATACTCAATGTCAAGCCACATAACGTCCATGGGTATATCATACTTGTCAAAGTTTGTAGCTACTTGATTCACATCCTCCTCGTCGTTGTAATTCCAGCGACTTTGATGATATCCAAGCGAGAAAATCTACAGGAAAATTTGATTGAAAATCATCGTGTACACTACAAATGGTTTGTTTACTTACGGGTGGCAAATTCGCAGTTCCGGTGAGAGAAGCAAACTGTTTAAAGACGTCCATTGGTGTGGGACCGAGCAAAATAAATACATCGATGACTCCAGATTCAGACATGATGTGAGCGTCTACTTGTGGTTTTTTTACCGTTCCAGAAACCATATTGACCAAGCTTTTCACGAAATCGTTGTCCGCACTCGATGTTATGTCAACCCAAGTTTCGGCTGCGTTGTTCCAGTAAATTCCGGACGTTGTCTCTTTTCTGCCATTGTTGGAAGAAAAAAATAATTTACAACCACTGAAAAGTTGTAGAAAATGTTTCGAGCTAAAAAAAACTATTTACCCGTGAGCATAGAGAACAGGAATGGCGCCATAGAGTGACATTTTTTCGTTGATTTCATATTCAAACACATCCAAGTTGTACAGTCGATACGGATCCGTTTGTTTGGTCGACTTTAGTGCAAAGGAATCGGCATGCTCGGGAATACCATAAGCTTGCTCAGCTCCCGGAAAGCTGAAATCCATGGCAACGGCTTCAGGGCCCAGGGGCTTTTCGTCGTGATGGCTTTTATAATTTTCTTCCCATGCACCAGGATCGTCTTCAGCACCGTCACCAGGGAACTGTGGTGCATCAGGCTGATCAGCAGCTGGTTCAGCGGGTTTTTCGGCATTTTCGGCATTTTCTTCAACTTGTTGTGGTTGATCTGGTTTTCTATTCAAATGCAGTGTTACTTAGACAACGTGATCTAACGTAAAAATTATAAAATAGAAAAGTATTTTTTTTTTTTTTTCTCTTACGCCGGAGGTTTTGTCCTCAAATGCTCAAATCTCATGAAACCTCTGTCGTTTGTGGAAATAACCAACTGGTTTCCAACATAAAAGTCAACTTTGAATGGATTGACATGGAGGATAGCTTTGTTCTTTCCATTCTTAACAGTGATGTGTGTCGACGTTTTCTCAACAAGTTGTAGAACTGTAGTTTGGGGATGGTCCTTCAAAGCATATTCCACTTCGTATCTTGGATGCAAAGGAGATTTTTCATTGATGTACAGCCTGAACAAGTCATTTTTTAAAGCTGTCAATTCAAGCCTGTAGTAAACTCCCGTGACCTTATTGTACAATTCAATGTGCAATGTCGACTCTTTGTGGCTTAATGTATCTGGCAAGAGCTCATACGGAGTTTTTCCAGGTTCAACTTTTCTGCACCGTCTACAATTAAAAACGCCAGATGAAGTGATTTACACTAAACTGATCATACTTGAAATGCTTATTTCCACTTACTACCGCAGCAGACCCTTGTTTATAAAACGCTGATGCAAGAGGTAGATAAAAAAAAAGCAAAAATATTAAATACTCGTACCTGCAGAAGCTGCTATTCTCGCACTTTTTGAAGTTTTCTCTCTGCACGCCACTTGTCGTCTGAGCCATGATAGCCAGTAAGAGCACAGCTGTGCCCAACCTGAAAGCAGTCAACATCTTGGCTAGTCAGGGTCTGTCAAGAAACTCTGCTCCAACTCGTTACGTCTCAATCTCTCTATTACTACTTACAAGTCGTATGAAAGAAATAAGAAACAAAAAAAAGAAAATGAAAGAGAAAGAAAGAAAAAAAATTCAACTCTGATAAACAGTTCGCAATGATAGGGTTATCAGGGAGGTTGGAAAAAAAACTCTCCTTTCTCAGTAACCGAGTAGGTATAAATACACCATCAGCTGCATCGATCATCGCTAAACTTAGATAACAAAAATACCAAATTTTTAAATCGTAATCTCTCTCGTCACGTATCATACTTATAGGTATAAGCTTCTGGCATATGTACTGCATGCGTCAATAATTAAGCGCAGTGTGTGTTTATTGATCGTTTGATCTTTAAAATAATTATCATTGATTCAGGAAAATCCAGCGAACCGGTTGACGCGGGCACGTGACTCTCGAGGGAAAAAAACCCTTACTAGCTCGGGAAGGCCCCGGATAACATCAGCAACATCAGCAGCGCGCAGAGAAGCAGACACTCGCTCTTCCACTCACGTCTAACCTCAACTCTGTTTTGTGTGTGTTGTGTCCTCTTAGATTTGTAACATATACATCACTTGGGTAATTTCAATTCTTTGAGCGAGAAACGCACCGTTGCACCATCGAGGAGGAGGGCGGTAAGACGAACTTAACAAACTAATTGAAAAAACGGGAACGAACAACAACAACACTCACCGGGCAAGTAAAAAAGCCATCTTCTTGGATGAGCCTTGCCTGTTGGCACACACGCAAAGGCTGTACGAGAACTGGTGGCCCGGACGTAGCGGCGTCGGCGGCGACACTACGGAAAAAGAGTACGAAAAAATACGAAACACATATACGCCGTGTGTATATAGCTATATAACGTATCGTGTGGGTGGGCGATATTGTGGATATGCTGTATACTCTAGGCAAGTGCCAACAGAGTCCAGCCAAACATTTGTGGGAGCCATAACATTGGCGTGACATTGCCAGAGGATGCCGCCGAGAGTTTGTACACAAATATACCTACTATTATTTCACGTAGAGGCTATTTTTTCTGCCTTTGATATGTTTTAGAACGTGCTCGTTTGCGCCGATTTCTTCCGATTTATCGTTACTGCTTCGAAAATTGTGGTCGTAGTTATAACTTTTAAGATGCTGAAATTAACTTGAAAATAGCTACAAAGGCAAAAAAATATTATAATCCATATCCTACATACATCCACATTGAGTGCCGTTTTAGACTAGTTTTAACAATCTCTATTGCGTTTGATCGTAAGTTCAACTCTGCTAATTCCCATCGTAAACTGTGAAAAATACAACTTTAACGGTTAATAAAATTAGCTCATACGTACATGCGTGTACGTGTAGGTGCACTTTTTATACGAGAACTCTTTTTTTTTTTTTTTTTTTTTTTTTTTTTTTTTCATGTCAATTATAATTAGTTCTCTTTTTCGTCAAAAAAAAAAAAAATCAAAGCTCTCCCTCGTGAAAAATGTGTATAGCCGCACCAAGCGAGGCTAATATTTTTCGACGCCAAAAGGGACCATCCTCTACTCTCCTCTCTTCTTTCCTCTCTACGGCTACGAAAAAAATTGATCGAGCCGCGCACTTAATTATAGAACCCATATAGCCTTCGGGGCCGCACATAAAAATCGCGATCACGTTTTAGTCGCACACGAAGAAAAAGAAAAAGAAAGAAAAAGAAAAAAAAAAACAAGCGCGACTTCTAAGTCTAAATATAGTTTTTTCAGCCATAAACCAGCGACGAACGTATATAAAAGTTTTTTCTTTTTTTTTGTTTTTCGTCTCCATCAAAAAGCCAGAAGGCTATACTATACACCCCAACTTTTGTGTATGTACCGTAATCCTCCTCTTATTTCCCCTACTTCTTGAAGCTCCTGTAACTTGTATTCTGCGAGCGTGGCATCTGAAATGACAAACTTCACGGAGAAAAAAAGAGCCCTTGTATTTTCCTTCCTCAGCCCAGTAACGTTTTTCTCCACACCAGCTCGAAAAACACCTCGGGGGGGGGGGGGGGGTTTGCAAATCACAATAAGCTTTTACGAACCGAGTGGATAAACTTTTATTGTGACTCTACGTGATCATTGCGCTATACACAACGAGTTTGAGCAAAAATCGCTCGTATCCCGCCGGACTATATATAGTTGAAATCACCTCAGCCACTGAAGTTGCGGAGAACAGTGAAGAAGGAGAATGCGTTCGACAACATCTGCGGGGAGGGAAAAAAAAAATATATATATATATATAAAGCCAATGCACACGTGGGCTCTGTGGTTTTTAAACTGTACCGAGCCAAATGTTTGCATGGACAATCTGACGTAGCCTCCCGCAGTCAATTCAACGGGCCGCTGGGCTCGCAGCATCATAATCGCGAGTATTTTGTTGGTCTCCTTGTCGAACACCACGTGCTCCATCGTTGCGAAGTAGGCGGCGTTGCTCACACCCTTGCTCTTGTACATGCGTGGAAAAATAAATCAAAATTAAACAATATACTCACGTATATGAAACCGTAAGTCGATTGTCGGGGTGAAATTACTTCGTTTATGAGGTGCTGGGGACTCCACTGGCAGATGTAGAGCGACGTCGAATGCAGCATGAAAACCGACAACAAACTGAACCTGTCGCTGTCGCTCTGACGAACGATCACACCACAATTAATACTCAGTACGATTAGATAGTGATATTGTATTTTGGTTGGTTCACCTGGAGAAGTTTGATCGCAATTAGGGACAGATTGTAAAGTACACCCAAGAGGGTCGTCATGTAAATCGACCGCGTGAAACGCTCAATGCCCTCGCAAAATCTGTTCAAATTACACGATACATTTATTTATTTTTTTCCTCAGTTGTACGATATATTATGCCATATGTTATTACAGTAACACCAGCTTACATGAGAGTTTCCTGGTGAAACACAGCGCACTCCACAACGTCTGCAATGATTCGACATGAAAGAAAGTTGTTTTTTTTTTTTTTTTTTTTTTTTTTTACTATGTATATGTTGTACCTTTCCTGGATAGGGCCTTTCCTCGCGCGACTCCTTTTTTCCAAACGCCATGCTCTCGGTCATCATCGCTTAGCTCCGTATTTAGCGAGGCGTGTGTGTCCAGCGCCATTGCGTAGAGTCTGTCGCTGATGCACCTCAAATAGCCGCACGCCATCATAATCAGAAACAGACCGGTAGATTCGTAGCCCGGAATAATCAACGCGATGGTGAAACAGACGATTGATTGAAGGCACGCCACTGCCGAGTACATCGGCTCGTCTTGGACGTCCACGTAAAATCTAAAAATTCGTTACATCTTTCGTTAAAAACGAGTACGCTTTTCGTGTAGACTGTACGGTCACAATATCTATCACCAGAGCGAAGAGTGCTGGTATATACGCGTAGCCTTAGTTTTTCGTTTCAATGGAATTCGAAATGATTATTAGGATGACAAACTATTCATTGAGTTTTTTTTTGAACCGCAAGTTTTGTTTTTGTGTTCCAAAAAAAAGGGGGCAAAACTGGTTGATCCAGATTGAAGATTGGCACTTATGTGGCGAACACTACATATTTTCCAACCGAGGGCTCAGTAAATGTCCAAAAAAGGGAAAAGGTACTTTTACTCTCTTACACAAAATATGAAAAAAATAAGTCGGAGTTGTTGATTTCATGAATCTTCGTTGCTTTGCTCGGACGAAAATATTCATGAAATCTCTTATTTATGCACACTATGTTTATTGCATAGAGATTTAAGCGTGGATACTAATTCAATTTTTTTTTTTAATTTTATAAATTTTAATGCCTTATTTCGGGGAAAAAAAGTTTCTTTAATTACTGCATACGACACAGTGCAATCATTTGCTACAAAATAACTTTTTCTCTCATTGTTGTATTGTTAACAGTGATGAATAGAATATTTTTTCATCAAGAAGAATACACTTTATGTGGGAGAAAAATTTTTTTTTCAAGCGTGTATAAATCTTTAAGTTGCTTGGACCATTGTTTCTAGATTAAAAACAATTTTTATTATTTATGGAGTATTAATTTGATTTATAAAATGTATGACGCAAAAAAGTGTAGTTTTCCAGGATTATAACATTGTTTATTTAGTGTATTATTCTAGAACTGAAAGTATCTCTTAAAACAATGAGTAATATGCCACGTTATTTTCATCAATTTTTACGTATTTAAAAGTATAATTGTTTCATTTCAAAATTATTGAGAAATACAACTGAAAATTTATTTTGAAGTTATTCAATAATAACAAAAATATCTAATGATAGTATTCAACAAGATATTTGATGTACTTTTTACAATTCAAAATAAAAAAAAGTCCTTGTCGACATTAAGATTATCTTCGGCTAAAAGAATGATTTTTTGTAAGGTACTATTAAAAAAAAATTTCAAAAATATTTATAACACACAATAAAAAATAAAAAAATAGATTTTAGCCTTTGATAAATCACTATCGAAAAATAAATTTTAGAAGAATAACAGAAAGTTAAAAAAACTTTTATTCCAAACAATCGACAGTGGCTTTCTTGTCGCTCCGAATATTGTGATTATTGTTGACGGTGAAATAATTATACTTGTAAATGGCCCTCAATTGCCATCAAATACGTAAATGGCTTTCTCGCTCTTATCTTATCAACCAAAAAAAAAAAAAAATAGAAAAGGTTCTCATGCTCATATCATCAAATAAACAATCCCTCCAAACGACAATTTTCACTCTGGTAAGCCACTCGTGAGTGGTGCCATCAGACCTGAGAACAAAAAAATACGCAATCCACCTTAACTATATGAAGAAAAAAAAGATATGGAAAATATTGTCTTCTAAACTGAAAAGGAAGGATGCGCCGCGCCGTCCCATTGGGCTCGAGGGGCGGCAGCCTGACACAGTAACCGGTGACAATGTAAGTGACGCAAGCTATCGAAGAACTGTACATCAAAAACGCCCTGATTATGTAAGCCTTGGCCTCGAACATTTTTACGGTGCCGCTCTCCTCCTCGGGCCTCACGTGGTGCCACAACTTCTTGCACATCCCCAGCAGCCTCGCGAACTCCTCGCGCTTTGCAAACACTATCACGTACCTGAAAAAGCAAAAATCAACGTTGTTATTTTTCACCCTCCATTCAAAAATTAATGCATGTACTTTATGCAAATGCTCTGGATGATGACGATCTCGCAAAGGAGGCCTATGTCAAAGTCCTTGTCGCCGTTGGTGAGCATACGCGCGAAGGGAAACAGGTACATTGTGTTGTAAATGGCCGATATGACGAAACAGTACAGCCCGAGGATTCGGCTCCCGATGAACTCCAGCGTCCGACCCTCGAACGGCAGAACACCGATTAAACGCAACAAATTCACGTGGGTGCCCGACAAACCCTCAAACGTCCACACCTTCTTCCCTCCCCCTTTGGCCATATTGTTCTATCCGATATTTCCTTTTTTCGATTATCGATTTGTTGAATTTATTCTACGCTCTTTATGTGTATACCCGCGTTGTTGCCTCATCTACTGGATAATGGTCCGATGTTACCCCTGACTGTTTGTTTGTTTGTTTGTTTGCGAGACGCTTGAAAGCAGCGAGTACACGGAGGCGCTTAAACAATTCATTTCCCGCTTTCGTTCGATATAATTGCACATTCAGCTGCGATGTACGCTTTTATTTTTTTTATCCTCGAAAGTAGCGAAAGGCAAAAAAAAAAACAAAAGAACAACCCTTACGTCTATAGGTGGGTTAAGTTCTCGAAATAGAAAGTCCACGTAGAGCTTTGGCGCAAATTATGATTTATTAACGCGCAAAAGAGCGGCATGTAGGTACCAACTCTTTCCCTCATTGGTCGCTCTAAAAGTGGCATCAGCGATTTCAGCGACAAACAAAGGGGTCGCCTGCGCGTCTCCCGCGTTTTTTATTATTATTTTTCCCGTGCACCCATCATTTGTCTCCCGTGCCTTTCTTTCATTTGTTTTTTTTTTTTTTTTTTTTTTTTTTGCAAGCTATACGTATATACGGTGTTTAATTAATTTTTAAGAGGGACTCGCTCGCCAATCACGAGCAAACAAAAGCTCCCATAGTTTCCTTCGCAAACAGTGTTTTCCCGCTGTTGAGCGAGTTATACTGTATACCTTGCCTCTCGGCGCTTTCCGCGCGCCCGTGCCTTATATAAACCTATCGGCTTTCCCTCGAGCCGGAAAACAACTTCTTTGCGATATTTGTTTCGTCGAATCGCAACTTTCGCCTTTGACGCAGTAGCTTCGACGCGGAAAGTGGAGTATCGTAAAATCGCCAGATTTATAAAGACCCCAAGAAACTTTTCTTTTCTTCTTTTTTGGAATTGCTCAGTTTTTACGCTGTTAAATCTATTAAATTGCCCCTTCTTTTTCTTCTTTTTTTTTTTTCTTTTCGTCGCAATCCGCTTAAATCAGTCATTTCGTGTTGTACACCGAGAGAAAAACATTATTAAAATTATCGAGAAACTCAGGCCAAAATAACCATTCCGCATAGTAAATCGGATGCTGGTGAGTAAGGAAAAAACAATTATTTTTAACAGTAAAGATTATTATTATTATTTTACTAGTAAGAATTGTATTTTGAATAGTTAAAATTATGGTTACAACGATAAAAAATAGAAATAGTAAACCTTCAAAGTATCGCTTTATAAATTTTAATTTTTGCATAGAAATTTTAACTGTTACACAAAAATAATTTTTACTTTTAAAAATAATGTCTTTTTCCTTTTTCGCCAACTTACCTTCTATTTACTGAGAAAAATAATAATTTTAGCTGGAACTTCTCTATAGTTTTCATTATTTTGTTCTCTCTCGTGTATACGTGTTTATAATTTGCCACTGTATAAACATTTTCCGGAAGATCCACAAAAAAAAAAAAAAAAAATGCGAGTCCAAATATCAAACTCGAAATCCGCACTCTCTCTCCGCCGTTCAATCGTCGACAGCGAATAGCCAAGTGGCGTTTTGACATCACCTCTGCAGTACTGTATGTGCAACGGTATCACTATTATCATTATTATTTATACCTGTATTACTTGTTAAATGTATATATATATATATATTTTTATTTATTCCGCGTGGAAATGTCACGTATGCGATCGTGCACGCGATCTATGTGGCGTCGAGACCGAAAGTTTGCGTGCATCGAGAGTAGCTCAATGTACCCCACCCCCTCCCACCTGTCAATTCGACAGATTCCGCGCAGCAGCTCTCTCTCTCGATGATATTGCGATGGCAAACATTTTATTCGAATTTCCGTCCGACTCCCGCTGAAATTTATACGCAATAATATTTGTACGTATACACTCGGTTACCCAAACATCACGTTATTGGTGTACAAAGGATTTTAGTCGATTCTTTTACGAGGGACCATTGCTCCTTGCTCCAAGCATACGTATAGTCGACAGGATATTGGAAACTCCGGTGTGCAGATGGATGTACCAGCTAAGTGAAATTTCCAATTCGTGTCCCACCGGCTGTGGTAAGGACTGACGCGGTCGTCTTCTGATGGCCAATGGTCACGTCGAGCAAAGTCTATATTCGTAAAGCCGCAAATATCCCGTGTATATACGGGTGGTCCCTCCCGAGTCCTCTGGGCACGCTATATTAGCGAATCCGATGTCGCATCGCCCAAGAAACCGGGAGAGGATCGAGTACACTATACACAGCTCGTAATTTCCTTGAATAGCGGTGATCCACCCACCACCGCCTGATGAACGAATATATATATATATATATATGGCTCACTCGTTGGTATTTTGGTATATCTCGTATATCTTGAACCAAATATCAAAAAGTTGAAGAAACGTATAACTTTCTACATCGAAAATTACATTTACATCCCTTTAACTATACTATTTTTTGCAGTGTGACATCAATGATTCCGTAAATGGCATCACGAAAAATCTGGAAAAAGTATAAGCTGGAAATGCACGATATCGACAAAGCCATGAAATTTTCTATGTAACGGAGAGACAAATATACCGTAATGCGATTGGAAATATCTTAGATAAAAGTTCGTAGTATCGGAGGAGGTATACTTGGGGACATAAATTTTCTCTTTGGTCCACTATACGTAAAAAGTTTGTAAATGTTGTATTTTGGCCGTATTCCTTTGACTTGCGACTTAACAAATCGAAAAGCCTCAAGGAGCTCGAATCCTGTTACGGAGAAAGCTTGAAAAATTCAGGCTCTCTTTGTCCATCATTCGAATCCCACTGTTTTGCTACTGCAGCCGGGACGGAATAAAAGAAAGGAGCCTCGAACGCCCGCTGATTTATTCAAAAGGGGAAAGATTTGCGCTACACTTCTGAGCTTTTATCCTGTTAATTACGTACCTGAAGGTGACAGTGGCGCATGAAAGAGAACAAAAAAAAACAACGTATACCTACACAAGAACATCTTTTTCCTCCCTCTCCCCCCTCCTTCGTCGTGTACAAAAAGGGCGCAGAGTGGGCTAGTCACCTTGGGGTCTCCGTGTAGTGTATGCAGATGCGTACAAAGCTGCTCTCTCGCCATTGTAGTAATTTCTTCTTCTTTTTTTCCTTCCCCGGCGATGGATCCCTTTTGATATGCCGTTCACCGAAACAAAGTTCAGAACGGAGCGTTTTTCCGCCCCGGCAGTTGGTTCGTTTTGATATAAACAATAGGAGAGGACGAGGAAAAAAAAAATCGAGAACGCAGATAATTATCGCACATTCAGTTTATTATACCTCAAAGAGTAATTTACGAGATTCGTAGAGTCAACGAGGAAAATACAATTGTCTACGCCACGTGTGTCTGTGTGTGTTAACGATATATTTATACGGAAAATTCGCTATTTTCTCTCTCTCTTTTAACTTACTTTTTTTTTTTTTTTTCATCCCGAGTAAGTATACAATATAATGAAAGAACTCGAAAGCCGTTTATCCCCAAGTTCCATCGAGTCGCATTATATCGCCAAGCACCCATATACATATACGAGTTCTCCCCTCGATTCTTATTGTTCTCTAAATAAATGCAATTGTCGTGTGCTCTATAGAATATACGGTTAGAAAAAAACTCCCTCTCGTCTTTTCCCCTATACGTACTTACTTCTCTCATCAAAAGTTAAAATACTTCGAGATACACTTATACACACTGCAACAATGATAAATTTTTCTGTTCATACAACCAGTTTCATACAGTTTACGGTACCAATCGTCGGAGCATACGTATTATCTTTTAATGAATCCTTGTAGCAGTATACTTTGGTGACGATTAAAAATCATGTAGTTATAGCGACCATACCTGAAGTGTACATGTCTAAATTAAATTTATATAAAAAAATACAATCGCACGCTGTACGCGTCATTCGTCGTTTGCTTTAATACTGGAACACTTGTAAAAACATCTCACTGCTTATCGGTATCTTTAACGTGTTAAGGATTTTTAAAAGTTTTTTATTTTATTTTATTTTTTTTATCTATTTATTGTTTTTGAAAACTACGCGCGCGCTATCGTTTACATGTAAATAACACTTATTCGAAGTATCTTTTGTTTAGTTTATTGTTTACAATATCTTTGGCTCATCGATAGATGAAAACGTGCGTTTAATCGGACTTTTATATATCGTACGTTAGGGGTTTTTTTTTTATTTTTTTTTTTTATTCCTTACAAATAACCATCGTCATCGTAAATTGTTATGTACAAAACAAAAAACAGTTGATCATCCATCGTACATGTAGCCTCTGATCAACGTATTTCACAATTCTACATTTTTCACTTGTCTGCACTTATTTGATTCCTACAACACGTCACAGTGATTGCAACCAATGATACATAATTGTTGGTTCGCGAGTACTCCCGAGTCGTTTTTTCGAATGCCCCTCTTGATAAATCACAATTCATGCAACGAAAATTCGCACAATCCTCGTCGACATCGACGTCCATTCGCCCCAAAACATGCACGTAAATTACATATACATATATAATATATAAATATCTATAAAATTTTCAATACAAACAACCAACGATTAAATGCATCTGATACACACCGACAACGTCGAACCAAGGATCAAAGCCTCTGCAACGAATAATCCAAACGAGTCTCCTTTACAGTAACAATAATAATAATAATAATAATAATTGGCACGTATTCGTATATATTGTATATACTCGCACACACGTTAGTTCACAGAGTTCAACCCCGCGCGAACCATCGATTGATTTAGGCTTCTGTAATTGCAATTTCGGATCAGTCTTTGTGCGCTCGGGGTGAGAAATCGATCGTACACGTACACCTATAATCAATATATCCCAAGTCAGGCCCTTCCATGCCGGAATAAACATCACCGAGCGAACGTTCGCATTACAGTGTATGCAACAAACGTCGTCGCTGCACCACCAAGGGATTCGAGTGTTATTGACCAGCTATATGCAGTGGACAGACGCACCGCTGACACACACACACACACAAGCTATCGTCCGTCAGCCCCTATCTCCGTTTATGGGCATGTATACGACTATCCCCCCTCCCCCGCCCATACATCATCACGCGCGGTGAACCGATTAAATCGTCGAGCGATTAAGCGCCAACTCTGTCGCGCGAGCGCGTCAGCATAATTGCCGTTTATGGGCGCACCCTGTCCCCCCTGCACTCCCATTGTTATATATATATACATATAGGCACATTGATTTCGATAGTAGTCCTCCCCCTCCCCCCAACCTAACCCGTACCTATATGCGTCGCGCGTTACATCACCTCGGACCCGGGAGGAGCCGCATATATCGGTGTCCATTGCAGCGAGTCAGCCGATGATATCCGCGTCCCCGGGCCGATAGCTCACCGATTTCTTCTTCTTGAGCCGCCTCTCCGGCTGCCGCTCGACACAGTGCAGGGCGTCGAGGCACCGCTCGCGAGCGGCGCCGGGCGGTCGCTACGTGGCCAGCATCCCCGGCTGTTGGGCTCCCAGCTGGGGACAACACTCGTGCTAGACCCAGTACTGGTTCTTCCTGAGCAGGGGGTTGTTCGGGGTGGCCCGGGGTGGTTGGGAGGCGTGAGACGGGCACGGCAGATCCGTCGTCTCGAAGCTGCTCCACTCGTCGGCGTCCCCCACCCCGTACGGGTACCTAGCCGACACGTCCACGTCCGAGCCCATGATGCTGTCCATCGGGCTCAGGGCTATCACCTGCAGGACACCCACAATTTTATCATAGATATATTTATACGCACCAGAGGGGAAGAAATAAGTTACACGTACCTTGCACTGGGGTAGAGTCGAGGTCAGGGTTGGTGGGCCCATGAGGGGCGGGAGTGGGGTGCTCGAGCTTATGCTACTGGCGAGGACAACGTCGTTGGGCGCGCAGTACCGCTTGAGGTGCGGCGTGGCGGGTAGCAAGTGGTCTGGTGGCCTCGGCAGCGACGACACGTTGCACGCCGGCTCCACCTTGGCGTCCTGCTGATGGGCCGGGTCTATCGACGACGAGGATGACTCCCCTGCCCCGCTTGGCTTCTTCTTTTTCTTCTTGCCTCTGCCGTGCCTGCACCTTATGGTCACGATGATACACAGGGCGAGGACAAAGATGCCCGCGAGGGCGCCGATCAGCAGGGTGTAGTCGTTGGCCATGCTCGGGGCCACGGTCATCTCGCCCTCGTGGCCGACCGGGTCCATCGGCTCGAGCGAGTTGTTGTAGTAGTCGCTGCTCAGCTTGAGCCGGAACTCAAAACTACCCACGGCCGGCTGGAAGCGGAAGGCGGTCTGATGGGGCACGACGAGCACGAACTCGAAGCCATCGCTCACCCCGTTGACGTCGTTCGAGGGCACGTTCGTGCAGACGAGGTACACCACGCCCGAGAGCACCTGCGAGTGCGAGAACTTGCCGATCTCCCGTTGCTCCTGCAGGGCCCGTTTCTTCTCCCCCGAGGACACGGTCCTGTTCATGATGCGCATGATCTTGGCGAACCTCGGGCGCCGGGTCACCCTGAACACGGGGTCGCTGCCGGCCAGCTTGGCCAAGGGCGTCGCGTCAAAGTACCCGATTCCCAGCCTCGTTCTCTCGCCCGCGTACACCTCAAGGCTCGGGCTAATTATCATCAGGGGCACGACGCGGATGGGCACGCTGATGCCGCGCAACTCAAACTCGCTCACCCGGGCGGACAGCTCGAGACTGTCGTTGCTCGCCGTCATGTCCTGCTGCACGTACACGATGCTCTTGGACAGGAGGTCCGTGTGTCGGAAGTTGTTGCTTTGCTCGCGTATGTGGAGGGCCCCGTGTCTTGGGGCTCGAGTCACCTCGTAGCGGACCAGGTCCGGGCGGACGTTCGTCTCGAGCTTGAGGCTCTCGGTGTCTATGGTGGTGGAGGTCAGGCCTTGCTGGATCTCGACGGGCCGAGCCACGCTCACGGCCAGCCTGATCGGGTGGACGTTTATGTTGAAGATCTTGTAGTCGTGGTTGAAGTGCCCATCCGACACCCGAAAGTAGAAGGTCGAGAGTAGGAGGGGTCCCCTGTGCTCGTAGACCAGCCGCGACGAGTCCACGTCCTGCTGCGTAAAGTTCTTCGGCTGGTGGGTCTTGGTGTTGGAGTTGGAGTCCGCCGAGAGGAGGAGCAGGCGGCCGTACGTCGGGGCGTTTATGATCTCGTAGATGATGTCCTTGGGCTCGGTGTCCGGATCCGTGGTGAGGAGATTGTCCCGGGTGATGGTTTGCGTCTGGTTCTGGACGACGTCGATATCTTTGATGACCTCGAGTTTGAAGGGCTGGTCGTTTATGGGGGCCACGTCGACGGGCACCGAGACGTTGCACAGGACCACGTGGCCCGGGGACACGTAGACCGTGAAGTCGATCTGGTCCCTGAGGGTGTCCGAGTGGTCGTGGAAGTAGGCTATCTTGCCGCTCCTGGCCTCCGACTCGGAGAAGGTCGTGATGTTCAGGTCGGGCAGGAGCATCACGTGCCCGTAGCTCGGCTGCCTTATCAGTCTCACGAAGACGTCGGGGTTGGCTATGGCAGCCTTCGTCCGGAGGAACGTCACGATCTCGCTGATGTTTATTCCAAAGGTCGACGAGCCACCCTCGATCACTTGCACCGGGGTGAAGCTAACGTAGCGGTGCAGGCCGCCGCTCGAGATTGATATGTCGATGTTGAATATCTATGGGGGGATTGATTTTTTTTTTTTTTTTTCAGTATTACGTATACATATGTCTATAAGGTGTGATGCACGCACCTGATCCCTGATTGTGTTGGCAAAGTTGGTTTCGACGTCGAAGATGAAGCTGTCGCTGGCGTTGATGTTGTTGAAGGACTTGACGTGCTCGTAGGAGACTCTGCTGTCATTGAGGTCCTTTTGGGTGAACCGGTCGACGGGGACCCAGGTGCCCTCGTTCGTTTCCATCATGATTTTTCCCATCCCGGCGCCGAGTCTTACCACGTATTTCAAGTCCCGGTTGGGGTCGGTGCATTTAGCCAGGAGCAGATCGCTCGTGATGGGTTTTCTTGCCAGTGGAAAGATGTTGAGGACCCTGTTGCGTTCGAGCCGTATACGGATGGGTTTGGTCGACACGCTCACCGAGTAAAGGTCCGTTGTGTGCGGGCCGTCGCTAACCGTGAACTTAAATTCCGCCTCACTGCCGCCTGGAAGTTCGTTGAGGCACTTTCTTGGTAAATTTCTCAAGCTTTTTGTTTCTCATTTTTTAATAATGCATACCTCGAGCAACGTATTCAATTTTAATCGTATAGAACAATAACTAATTAAATAAGTGGTACAAAAAACAATTAGCTTTTTTAAAAAATTGTGAATTAATGGTAGTTTTCCTACGAGTTTGAAAAGTCTCTGTTTGCGAACCAAAAGGTTTGCGGCCCGAGCCGAAGGCGAGGGACGTAACGAGGTTCGTAAAGGAGACTTTTCGAACGAGTTCCGGAAAACTGCTTTTTCGCCCGAGGAAATACCAGCCTCCCAAAACCACCCGAGGGCGGAAAAAGAATTAAAAAATTTTCACGGCATAAGTACTCGTTGCCAGAATTGTTCACGTGAATTCAAAATTGCAATGAAATATGTTATTCGTGTCCTGGTATTTGGTAAATTACTTGATATACTTTTAATGGTTATTTAGGAACAGTTTTATATCTTCACTAAAATACAAATTGATCCAAAATAAAAAAAAAAAAAAATATTAAAGGAAAACACTGGAATAAATTGTGGAAAGTTTGCACAGTACGGCGAATACAATTTTAAAGTAAAAAAAAAGTCGTAATACAATCACCGTTTATTAAATTCATACAAGAAAAAAAAAAAAAAAAATATTGCAAGTACCTACTAAATAATGCATGCGTTGAAAGTGATAAGTACTTTTTTTTTTAATTACTCGAATAGTGTAAAGTATCTGGTTTATTCGTGAACCTAAAAGCTACACTGTAGGGAACCAACTTACTAGTGAGAAAATGATGAAAAAAAGAAAAAAATTCCAACTTACTCCTGTGCGTGAACAGAACATGCCGGGCGTCGATCATCTCCTGCGTAAAGTTGCCGATCTCAATGCCCGGCGCCTCGCTCAGCGAAAAGTAACCATTCGCCAAACTCCTGACCCTATAAACCAAGTCCTCGGGAGCCGAGTCGTTATCCTTGGCAGCCAGGTACTCACTGCCCACGACGACAGATCCGCCCTGCCACACGCTGAACCTCGTCCTGTTCACGACAACCGGCACTTGATCGTTGACCGGCTCGACGTTCACCCACACGTCGAAGGGCTCGCTGCTCTTCTCCCCGGCCATCACCGCCAGCTTGAACCGATCCGCCGCCACTTCATCCCCGCTATTCCTGTACACGATCTCCCTCGCGGCCAGCTGCCCCTGGGAGAACTTTTTCACCGGCCCGCCCTTCGCCGCGTCCACCAAACCCCCGTGCCTCGGCTTCTCGACCACCCGGTAGTCGGTCAGCTTGCCGGCAAAGTACCCCGTCAGCGCGTAAAAGTCCGTCTCGCGCAGAGCCACGCTCTTACCCTCGAGGACCGTCAGGTTGCGCGCGGCCACGTACAACTTGGCCGGGATAATGGCCACGCTGACGCTCAGGTTGCGCAGCCAGACCACCCCGTTGCTCACGTCCACCACGAAGCTGTCCCTCGTCCGGTTGGGCGTCGTCTGCACGTAGTGGACCCGATCCTCGTTCACGAGGCTCTGCTCGAAGCTCTCCACCGCGTGGCTCTCCCCGTCCTCCTCCTCGTTCCCGCCCTCGTCCTCGTCGCGCGTCTGCACCTCCAGGTGTCCGTTCTTGGGCCACTCCCTGATGTGGTAGGTGACGCGACCGGGCGGCACGTCCGGGTGGCCGATTTCGAGGCTCTTCCTGCTGATGACGACGCTCGTCGCCTCCTCGACGTACACGGTCCCGTTGTGCTGCACCAACAGGGGCTCCCAGTAGCTCTCAGGGAGCACTTTGACCGCGAGCGTGCCCCTGTCCTCGGCGTCCTTGACCTTCACCCTCAGTGCCAACTGGTCCGGCTTGAGGGATTTGGCTGTGTGCCGGTAAGCCACGGCACCGCGCACCAGGTCGGCCATGTCGAAGCCCTCGGTCTCCCGGTTGAACTTGAGCAGTGTCCCGTGCTTGAGCCGCTCCAAGAGCCGGAACTCGATGTCCGTCGAGTTGGCATGGACGTTGGTCTCGGCGTCGATGTCCTTGGTCCCGAGGTAGGTCGTCCGGTTAGACTGGACGAGCGTGTCGGTGCTGAGCAGCAACTTCACGTACGGCCGGCCCGCCTGGATCTCCAGCTCGCCGTTGGCGAAGAGCTCGCCGTCGCTGACCGTAAAGTCCACCCTCTCGAACTCCCGGTTGCCCCGGTGCCTGTACGCCACCACCTCGTCGTCGATGTCCTGCTGGGTGAACCGGTCCACGGGGCTGCCGTCGACAACCCGATAGATCTCCCCACCGCTGAGCTGCTTGATCTTGTAAACCAGGTCAACGGGTCGCGTGCCAAGGTCGTCGTCCGTGTAGCGGAGGTCGCTCCGGGTAATGATCCTCGTTGATCTCGAGACCACGTGGAAGACCCTGCGATCGAGTCGCTTGGGCGCGTTGTCGTTCCTGGCCTCGATGTCAACGCGCAGCGCGCCCCGGCGCATAAAGTCCGTGGCCTCGTCGGACGTCAGCGCCAGGTACTCGAGCCCGTCGCTCGCCGACTCGGAGTCGTCGTGGACGTAGAACACGGACTGGCTCGCGAGTTCCTGCAAGGTGAAGTGGGTAGCGTTCCGCCGAACAGGTAGGGCGCCGTCGTAGCAGGCGAGCCAGCCGTGGCGCGGGGATTCGGTCAGGTTGAAGACCAGCGAGCGCAGATCGAGGTCCCGGTAGGTGGCGCTCAGGGGTGCCGGTAGGAGAGCCGCCCGGCTGCCCTCAGCGACGCGCAGCGCCTCAGACTCGGCGAGAAGGAGCGGGGGGCTGGGGGGTTCCCCGACCGGCCACAGGTAGCGGAAGTTGAGAGTAGCCTCGAGGTCGCTGCACTGTGGGGCGCTGACCTTGAAGCCTATCGCGTCCTCTACGGGGGAGTAGGCGCGCCGGTGGAGCCGGTAGCGTAGCCGGGCGGTGTTTATGTCGTGTTGGGTGAAGGTCTGACCAGGGCTGAGTTGGTCGTAATCGAGGTAGAGGTGTCCGTAGTGGGATGGCTCCAGGAGGCTGTAGAGGACGGTCGTGGGCTCGCTCGGTAAGGGGTTCGTCTGGTAGCTTAGGTTTGGTGGCTCGACGACCACGTCGGCGGTGCCCGTGAAGTTGACCTCGTGCCGGTTGATCTCGAGCAGCTCGAGGATTATGAAGGTTACGTTGAAATCGTAGGTAGCGGCCGGACGGACCTCGCGCACGCTCGCCTGGAACTTGAAGGAGTCGTGTCGTGGACTGCCCGTGGTGTGGAGGTACCTGCGGAAGGGAGTACGTTGCGCCTGATGATGCTTTAAACGTGTTGTTTTGACATTTGACCCGTTTGACTTTAGGGTCAAGTATTAATGAATTTTCGACAATTTTTTTGAACAAAAAAAAAAATCACAACTGAAACAGGAGAAATAACTTTTTCAATAACAGTTGGTTTAATGTCGTTAATGAGCTTTCGGGTTCTTGGTTGTTTGCATTTCTGTAGAATTGACTCAGTAAAGATCGAGATTCGAGACCGTACAATTTTTTTAGGAGTCTTTTTTTCCACCATCTGACCCATGCGGGTGTATGGAATGTACGTATAATTTAATTCGTTCGTATTAAATAAAATACAATTTTTAATTATCGAGAAATAATAAAATCGTTTTATCGAAAAGTAAAGAAAATAAATGCAAAAAGACCACGTGTACGTAAAATATAGCGTGAAAATCATGTTTAATCCATCAGAGGCAGGATCTGCTGTATCCTCGCTTCGATTGTTCGAGACAAAAAAAAATTTCTATTCGATAGAACTGATTAAACAGTCCGTATGATTTAATTTGGCTATTGGCCAAAATCCTGTCGATACTATTGTCACGCATTTTAATCACAGGAATAACAATTTGTTTATAATGTCAGCCAATTCAAGTGTACCGATCGTATGAATAATTTTGTCATTGTATAACAATTAGAGACTTGAAAAAAAACGACGAATTCGAGTCACATCTTTTTTTACGTATATAGGTAAGAAGAATAAGCCCCAATGTGGTACACAAAACACAAAAACGTAACAAAATCCACACGCAACAAAGCCATATACATAAACAAGACAAGTACAACAACAGTTGTATACATTATCAAGTACCTACTCGAATGTAAAGTATCTGGTTTGTTCGTGTACCAAAAAGAAAAGTACACTGTAGGGAACTAACTTATAGACTCATGTCATGTTAAAAATTATTTTAACACCAAAAACAGAGCTCTCATCGCTCAAGTCTCTCCTGAATATGCCTTGAAATAAAAAAAATAAAAAAAAAGTGGAAAAAAAATTCAACCCACCCCTGTATTATACATAAACAAGGCAAGCACACAACAAAAACAGCGTATTTAATTATATATTATCAAGTATACCTGACGGTCTGGAGCTCGAGGTCGCGGCTGGTAAAGTACTCGGCGTCCATCCACGGCTGTCCGGGTTCGCGCTGTCGCTGTATCACCCCGTACTGCGGCTGCTTGAGTATCGCGTAGCGCAAGTCGACCCTCGGATCCTCGGCGTTGGTCACGAAGCTCAAGTTCGCCGGGCTTAGATAGGAAAACGACCGATGCACGACCACCAGACCCGTGTTTACCTTCGGCCTTATGCTCAGCGGGTACGTGCTTACTCGCAAGTACTGGGGCCCGCTGCTCGCCTCGCCGTCGCTCACCCTCAGCCCCAGCACCGCTTTTGTCTTATCTGCAGCAACACACGTATAAGAATTGGGTATGAAATAAATATAAAAGGAATAATTTTTTTTTTTAATTATCCACCTTTGCCACTGTGCACGTAGTCGACAAAGCCGCGCTCCAAGTCCGCCTGGGTGAAGGTGTCGACGGTCTGGCCGAGTCTCTCGACGTGTCCGGCGTCGGTGTCGTTGGCGAGAACCGTGTAAACGAGCGCCCCGGCGGGCGTGTCCGCGTCCACGGCCCAAAGCAACTCCTTCGTCAGTGCCTTTCGACTCGCCTATATAGGAACAGATACAAACGAAACATTGGACCATTTGTTTCACCTTTCCTTCCTCCCTTCCTGCACGTATGTTACAAAGTGTACACCCGACAAAGCTGCGGGCACTGCTTGTCGAAGGAAACTTTGTAATTGATTTAGAGCACGGGGATGCCTTCGGAATGTCTATAAATTGTGTCATGCCCCCGCCTATATATATATATATATACACCCTCGAAGCGGAAAGAAACAAATACATGCCAAAAAAGGAATTCTTCCGCGTTGCCGCAGTCACGTGTTGTACAGGAGGTAAATCGTTGGAGGGAGCTTCGTAAATTTATATACATGTATGGGCGCTTGGCTTTGGTTTTCTTTTTTTTCCCGCGGCTCAATTATACTCTCGCGGCAACGACGGAAAGTTGATCGAGGGAGGGAAGAATTATTTCGTCCGCCCCCTCGCGTATAATATACACGTGCATCCCGATTTCTCCTCCCGCGTATAAGAAATTTTCGTATGGAGACAGTGCGCGGTAGTTTTGGCTCGCTGCCTCTCGCGAGCGCGGCAAGGGGGGTGGGAGAAAAGTGAGGGGCGCACAAGAACGAGAGGAATGAATTATTTATGTTCGTTCCGTCGCACTCGGGCTGGCTTATGCACCTAGGTATATATGTATATATATGTATAAAATACATATAGCTCCGCGCCCTCTCTCTGTCTCTCTGTACACTGATTAATTGCATCCGCCCAAAAGTTTGAGCAAAGTTGTTTTGTTTGAGATAAAGTCTATCCACTCCTTTCCCGCGCGCTCCACCCAACTCCCTTTTTTTTCCCTTTTTCCTTTTTTTTTTCTTCGCTACTGCCGCTGAGATATGTGTGTTACTTTAGCCGGGCGACGGTGTATATGCATGTATACAGGTATACTGAGGCGGGCAGGTACTTAAGGACCCAAAGTTTCTAAACTTGGGCAGTTGCAACTTTTAATGGTTTTTCAATAATCATAAATATGCAGGCCACACCGTGTGCAACAGCACCCCTCACCCCCCCCCCTTGTACTCCGTGCAGAGTGTCCTCTTCCGCTTCTTGTTTCGCGTGGGGCCGGCTCTTAATTTGCTTTGAATTACACCGGGGGAGCGATTTTTACCGCAACGATATGCAAAAGGGTTGAACGCTCGAACAGCCGCGATCCCCCGCTGAAAGGTCATTTTTTTTTTTCGTCGTTTCCCTGTTGTAGAACGAGAAAAGAAAAAGGTGGGGGGGGGGGGGGGGGAGAGAAAAACGTGACGAGAGATCTCTCGTTTGGCCGATGGAGCGGGAAATTAAGATGATTTATAATTCTTTTTTTTTTCTTTCCTCGAGGCATTTAGTTACGCGGAGAGGAGTTAATATTCCCCCTCTGCTCGTTCCCCGCAAAGACGTCGTAGTCGGTACGTACAGCAGAGCGTAGCCATCAGCGGTATAATATCGTCCCTCTGTGCCACGGGGGAGGGTAGGATGTATACCTGTAGGCGTCCCTGGGATAGTAGCGCGGCATCGCATGGCAGAAATAAGGACCAAGACTCGGAGGAGGTAGGTATATACATAGGTATAGAGCAGTAGGGTAGTGGTGGGGTTGGGAGGGGCGAAATGAGTCAAGAAAAGCAATCTGTGTAATTGGCGAGGCATTATGTAAACGAACTAACTTGGGCCAATCTCAGCTGGGAGTTGGTGGGTATCTCGAGCCGCGGCGGATCATTAACCGGAGTCACGTTGACGTGCAAAGTGAATCGCAGACTGTCTTGAAAGTAACCCGGAAGCGGTTGCCGGCTGCTACCGCCTCCTACTCCAACTCCGCCACCGCCTCCGGCCGATGTTGCTGCTACGCCAGATGACGACGATGACGAAGACGACGCCGACTGCTGTTGCTGCAGCGCCACCTTCAAGATCGCGCTGTCCCCCGTGCTCTCGCCACCGTCGTGCTGGTAAGTAATCTGCAACAGTTTCAACCCAAATACATTTATACATGTACAAACTATGTACAATATATAGCAGTTGTGCGGTTTTCGCTGCACTCGCTTTGTTATTTCAGTCGTGTACGTGTATCATCTCGCGACGACGAGGAATTCACCAAACTTGATGCTTATATATATGAATATACGTATGTGTTTTTTTTACGCGCGTACATCGATATAAATCTACATGGCTACCGAACCCGCGGCGGGTAACGTCGGGCATTAAATCTCTGTTAAAATGGGGGGGGGTTGGGGGGGAGGGTGTAGTTATATCAAATTTACGCGCAATTAGTCGAGGTATAATCGGAGCGCGTATATAAACGATATTCCGGGCTGCGAGAGGGCTTTTGATCCATAATTATCAATTATAAGGACGAGTGTGGAAAAGATAAAAAGCAAAGGATGACAAATGGCCCCCCACCGGAGGGGGGCTTATGGGAGCTTTTTAGCCAGCAAATGTGCCGAAAAGGTTGTGCGAGGAGAAACGCGGGTTTTTTTTACACCGAGCGCGTCCACATATTCTTCCCTAAATCCATTACGCCACAGAGAGAGTCCAAGGGAGGGGGGGGTGTACCTACAGCATCGCCCCCCTTAATTTTTCTTTTTTCCTGCTCGTACCGACACTCCCCCGCCTTCTGTCCCTACTGCTACAGGCAACCGCATAAGTTACAACCCGGCCCATTAACCCGCTCGCGGCGCTCTCAATAACTTCCACGTGTTACCTTGAGGATACCCCACGTGTATATAATACATGGCTCCTTATACAATATATACCGGGCGCAGACGCCGCCTGCTGCCTTTTAATCTTTCCTTTGAATTTAATTTACCGAATGAATTTTCCTTTGCGGACCGAGCGTTGATTTTTCTCCCGCTCTCGCGCTAGTTTAAATCCCTCCGCCCTCGAGATTTCGCGGTGAATCGCGCTCGTTTGGCCGAGGAGGGAGGGAAAAAGAAGTGTTCCTTTTTACACGCCGGTTAATGCACTACTCGACCGGCTCTCTGCGGGATCGTTTGATTGGAGTGGCTGTACGTATATACGTGTGTGGGGAGGATGTATTTTGTTTTTCTCCCCTTTTGCTCCGCCTTTCGACTGTATAGGTTTATACCACTCGGCACGGCTTGAATTATCATAATGCAGCCGCCACGGGTGTTATATGTATATATACACATCATTTGCATTCCGCGGGAAATTTTTCTCGAGCTATAAATTCACTGTACATTTTTATGAAAAAAAAAGGAGGAGGAGGAAGATGATGAAGTAGACGAGAGTCCCCTTCTCTCTCGTTATGATAACGCAGTTACGCGTTTCATCGAACTCGGGTCTCGAGGCGCGAAGAAATTTCCTCTCAACCTTATACCCCCCGACCGGCGCGATGACCCTGTGCGTGTACTGCCAGAGTCAAAGAAAATCGCATACAGATATACGGTTCCGTCTGTTACATATATACGTATACGCGCGTCAGCGGCTTACAGCGTTAAAAGCCATCATCTCTCTTAATTAATAGAACAAAGTTCTCGAAAAGCGAGTTAGTTACGGCCATTATATACCTCCTCCCGGGCGCACACGCGTATATATATATATATACATACAGAAAAATTTATATTCCTTCCGGCGAGCTTTGTTCCATCCCTTTTTTCCGATTCAATGCAAATCTTGTTTAGCATATAACTCCATACCTTTTATAGAGCGTTAACTGAAAAAGTTTTTATGAGATTCAACTCCTCCTTCCCTCCCGCCACTACCTCTTCTTCTTCCCAGTGTTAAAGGAATCCTCTCCTCGCGTACGTATGTATATGTATATACCCTCTGTGGGCATTTATTTATCAGAGCGCTCTGGTTTTCAATTAAAAAAGTATTACAAAAGAATTTCAATTGGCTTCGATTCTCCCCCCTCCCTTGCCACTGTTTTTCGTCAGCGCCCATTATACAACTCTCGAGTTGTACGCGGGTGTACACCGCAGAAAGCCCCTACAGCCGCTCGGCAGATTAAATTTTTTTTTCTCTGCCTCCCGAGCGAAATAGGGGCAATTTGAGGCTCTTTGCTTGACAAATAAGAAGCGAGGGTTGCACTACAAGGAAAAAAATAAATAAAGCTCGCGTGCGATATTACACGCAGAGAGAAAGAGAGGAAAATCAAGAATTAATTGAAGTCTCCGCCGGCGTGTACCTATACGTACCGTGGACCTTTCGCGCTATCTTTTCCTTCTTCTTTCCTCCTCTCCCCCAAGAGAATCCTCGCAGTCCCCGACGTCATAAAATATTGGCGGCCAACTATACGCGTGCACCCACGGAACACATATGAACTCCCCTTGCGGAAGCACCGGGGGCTTCTATCTTTATACCTTATATACCCTTTATATATAGGGACGTCCAAGGAGGGAGAAAAGCCGTTACGTAAAACCCGGGGTGGATTCAATCGGTGTCGTACAATTTCGTGCCATCGCCGTGTGGTCACGTTTCCCTTTGATTTACGCCATCTCGTTTCTTGAGAAGAATCGTCGCTGCTGTGAGGCAAGAATAAAAAAAAAAGGGGGGGGGCAATTCGTCCTTCGTCCATAATTGCAGCTCACTGTTTACGGAGCCCAGGGGTAATTTGGGCCGCGCGCAACGAGGGAATCAAGGGGGCTCCGATGTAAAAATCATGCCGATTTCCTGCAAATCGCGTCATTAGGAGGAGGAAAGAAAGACTCGAGGAGGGGCTGTGGACAATGTACCGAAATAATGCCGTTTGCGGTAGCACCATATATATATATATATATATATATATATATATATATATATATACACACACGTACACATACAACGTATGGCCGAGGGGGTAAATTAGAGCGCTCCTAAAAGAGTCGCAGATAAGCCGAGTCTCCCCCCTTGTGACGAGCTCGCGCTCGCGGACAGAGAGAAAAAAGAACCAAAAAGGGAGGGGGGGGGAAGGAAACGCTTAATGAGCGTAGGCTAGCGCGTGCAGCGCGCACTTTCAATATAAATAGAAACTCACTCCCGGCTTTCTAAAGTTAGGATCCTCCTTCTCTCCGGCGCGTCTGTCTGCGGGGGTACCGGGTGTGTTTTTTCTCGCATATAATACACGTGCGTGTATATATTTTTGAGCTGTTACGATCGGGAGGGGAAGGGAAAAGAAGAAAAAAAAAAAATTGCCGACAGCCGGTGCTTGCAGCGAGAAAATATACAGCCTAGGAGTGTGTGTGTGTGTGTGTAAATGGGCAAAATTAGCGCGCAGTAAATGTACGGTGTTGGTCGCTGTTTGTCTCTCGTTTCACAGTGTGTGCTTTCGAGAAAATCACGTCCGTCCGCTTTTGTGTGCGGCTCTAATAGAGACAGCGGCGTCGCAGTGCAGAGAAATAGCGAAAGAAGCAAAAAAAAAAAAAAAAGAAAAGCTTTGTTTTTTCTCAGAGAATAACACCACATGCACGTATACGTGTTATACAGGTGGACGAGTAAGAGGTTGTTTTTTTTTCTCCCCTCCCCCCGCCCCGATGTTTGAGCAATCGCCAAGAGTTTCAATCATCCGTTCATCGATTTCCGTTTCTTGTTTTATCAATTGTGCGCGGCAAACTGTGTCCATACGTACACACTTGTTTTCTCTCGATGCGCTCATTATCTTCTGTGGCAATTCAACCGATCTGAAATCGTCGTGAATGATGCTGTAATATAATAATACATGCATTACGAGGTGGAGAAAAAAAAGAAAATGATTAAAAGTGTAAAAATCGTCAGAGCTTAAACAACGGAGGCGTCGAAATATCGCGTTTCAATGAGTATTACAGCAACGCGATCCGTTCCACTTCCCCCTCCAGCTGCAAGCTCGGGTTCAGAATACGTACGAAATGTCGTGGTAGTAATAATACACTCGGCATGAAGCGCCGTAGGAAATTTATGTGTGCAGGCCGTGCCCGAAGAAAGCGAGAGAGAGTATCTCCGGAGGAAGGGAAAATATCGCGTGTACCCAGCCACGGGTTTTGCACTTTTCCTATTTTTTCTTCTTCCCTCCCCAACGACGGACAAAATACATACCGAATCCGAGCCGGCGACTTTCTTTTCGGGAAAATGGCTTTGAAATAGCATCGGTTGGTGCATGCTCTTCCCCGCCGGTGGCCTCTCCTCTCTTGGGATGAAAACGAGAGGCGAAAGGAGTAGAAGATACGTCGTCGGCTCGGATGGGGCGTTTCGTTTCATTCGTCTCTTCACGTATGCATAACGCGATCGTTTTAGCATGATAAAATGCCACCGCCCGATTCCCCCCGATGTGCGCACTCGATGGGAAAGCGGACAAGTTTTTTTTTTTTTTTTTTTTCTCTCTCCCCGCGCTCGCGTTGTCACATCGATTTATCGGGCACGAATCGCCCATTGTGTGCACCCCCCCCCCCCAACCCCCTTTTTCGTCATAAAACCGTTTATGTTTCCATATAATATAATCTTTACCCGAGACGAGCAGGACACCGCAAGCGAAATCCTCTTTTCTCCGCGTGCGTTGCGCGTTTTGTTGTCGCCGGGGTATATATACAAAGCCACCCCCTCGTGTATAAGTACCTGCCTTTTTTTTTTTTTTTTTTTTTCCTTTGCCCTCGAGTATGATTTCAAATAAAAATATCGATTCTATTTTAATTTCAAGTTTAACCGAGACGACGACGAGTCCCGAGAAGGGGTCGGAGGTGCCAATCCTTTGGTAAATTTTCAATTAAACCCGCGACTCTTGCGCGCTTGTATGTGTAATACGTACACCCACACTGGGGATGCACTTCGAGTCGTCGTTACCCCCAAGTGCTGGAATTTCGCAAGAAACATCGTAAATCTCCTCGTTTATATAATGTGTATATATATGTATGTAGGCGAGCGGCGCACGTGCCACAATCCTCATCGGCGTGCCCCTGTGTCCTTGTCGTCGCGCGCTTCTAATTGAAATTGATGAATCCCGCACGAAAAGCGTCCCTCTCTCAATCGAGTGCGTGTCGAGGCGTACAATGAATTTTCTCCCTCCCTCGTATATATATATGTATACACACGCCTTCAATTCGACTCAATCGAGCCATCGCTTGAAATAGCTAATCTCTCGCGCGCGCCCCGTGTTTATAAGTATATACATGTATATATATATAGACAAACTCGTGTTATCGGAAGAAGAAAGGGGGGAGGGGAAAGAATTACGTGCCGAGGGTACGATAAATATTAGCCCTTGGCTCTTGCACGATTGAATACGTATACATTATAAGCTTGTGTGCGTATACCTACCTACTTGGTTGAGGAGGGGGGTCCAATGATATGCCAATTAATACATCAATCTATGTGGCGCGAGGGAGAGACGTCGTCGATTGGGAGGGTCATGGGTATATATATGTTTATAGACATGTAGCAATTGCTTGCAGCCTCTCTGGTATTATGTTTGTTGTACGCTCGTACGACCGTACGTGTCGCCTCTGCGGTTGCAACTATATACGTGAAAATGCTCGGCTAATGATGAGTTTGAGTGTGAAATTAATTAACGAAACTGTCGTCGTATTCCTGGGTAGCCTCTCTCTCTTGAATGGCAATAATATTATGATGATTATTATGATGATCATCACACTGCGATTGTGTATCAAGAGTATAGGTACGTACGTATAGCTTTGTGGCGTTAAATTTGGTAAAGTCTTGTGATTACGCGGTGTAACGGTTATTGTGTCGCGTGCGGGTAACTCGATTCGCCACGGCCTTGTATCCATGCACACGCGCCAAACTTATTATGGACCGCCTCGAGTTTACTTGCTCGGTTAAATAAATTTCAAACTCGAAAACCCCGAGTATAATCTGCTCAATTGTACTCCTTTGCCCGCAAGTATTAGTCGACCGTTCATGTTTTTTTTCTTTTTTTCTTTTTTTCTCAATTCCATCTCCAATCGGATGTAAGTGTGTATATTCATTGTTACTTTGACTCACTTTTAGATGTATGAAAAAAACACGTGTGTGTATATGCGAGTTGAAAACTTGTTTAGGCTACGTACATGGTGTCGAATGCACATATTGAAAAAATAATTGGCGCGTTCAAGCTGAAAGTTGATCACGATCGCTGTAAATCTTGTTGTATTGCCAGAGTGTATTGTTATTTCACGGGACACATTGAAATTTATTGCGTTGTTTGTACTAAAGAAAAAGTTTTTTTATTTACGATGCCTATGTATAATAAAATTTGAAAGAAAAAAAAAAAAAATTTAGAAACAGAACGTTGTAAAAGTGTTTGAATGTATATTTTATTTCGAATACCTAAAAAGAAAAAATTTAATATACAAAAGGAATTTCACTTATGCGCTATAAAAAAAAAAAACGAAAAAATATCTAAGGTATTTTTTTATTGTAGAAAGTGATGAATGAAAAATATTTTCCAGCGAAAAGAATGTAATTGAGCTGGAAAATCAATAAAACAACGAAATCACGCGATTGTTACGCAACAACTTGACCAATCGGATAACGTAACTGCAGTTACAATGGTAAAAAGAAAAACAGAAAAAGGGCACTCACCCTGTGCTGGTAGACGTCGTTGAGGGTAAAGGTCGCCTTGGCGGGTAGGGGCGCCTTGTCGAGGAGCAGGACGCCGTGTGCCGGTTGGCCGACGACGAGAAAAACGACGTTGGACTCGTCCAGCCCGTACTTGGCGATGTCCAGCACCATGGCCAGTTGCCGCTCGCCCAAGACCGCCCGGCGTGCCTCGACCACCTGCAAGGGTCTCAGCGCCAGAACCTCGAGGCTCACCGGCAGATCGACGCTCAACTGCAAACAGAGACGCGCGTCAAAGAGCATCGATTATTATATTCCACGGTACAACCCACCCACCAAAGCGCTTCCCCGGGAATTCGGAAAAATGGTATAGCGCTTAGCGCACTCGCTTCGATTTACTCGGAGGAGGTGTGCGTAACGGACCCCTTTGCGGTGGAAAATTTCTCATTTTTTATCAAGAAAATGTTTCCAGGGTCTCTTTCCAACGGGAACTATACTCTCTAAATTTGAAATAGTGATAAGTATACAACTATTTCAAAATATTGCATATACACTGTAAAATAGTGAATATACACTATTTTAACAGTGAAACGGACGATTTCACTATTTCAAAGTTGTATACTCATACCTTAGTTGAACTAGTGAATATTCACTGTTTCTACCAAGTTATACTTTTACTATTTAAAATTAGTTGATTAACTTGTTGCTGGTATCACTTGAAATAACGTGTGTGGGTTGTACAATTATTTGAATAAAGATCGTTGAGATGCCAGTATATACATGCCAATCATATATTTTAGTAGCAATTAGCTCACCTTGTGCTCATCGGTAAAGTTGGGCCTGATGCAGAGGCTCTGGTCGCAGGTGCACTTGAACGACCTGACCCCGAGTTGGGAGCAGCTGGCCCCGGGGACGCAGGGCTCAGTGTCGGCCTCGGTGCAGGGAAACCGCCACACGCAGCCGGCCACGAGACCCTGGCTGACCTTGACGTGGGGCAACCCGAGCCCGTGGCCCCCGAGGACCATGGCCCTCAGGCAGCCCCTGTAGCTGAGGTCCCCGGACTTGAGGCCCTTGGCCAGCGCCTTGGCCCGTCTGTTGAGCTCCGTTCCCCCCACGTAGAACGTGTCGGCCAGATCGAGGTAACGGTTGCTCGCCGGTAAGCTCATGTTCCTCGGCTCGCCGTCCACGCTGATGCCCACGAAGCTCGGGGTAAAGTCGACCGCGAGCCTGTGCCAGTGGCCATCGGCCACCGTCCGGCCGTGCACGAGCTCCGTGGGACCCGTGCCCTTGTTCATCAGCAGCCGCACCCTGCCCTCCTCCAACTCCACGCCCAGAAAGTCCGTCGAGCGACCCGCGTTGAACAACAACAGTCCGCTCTGGGCCGCCGTCTTCAGCTCCACCTCCCACCTTGGGTGGTATCGATAAGAGTTGCATTTTTTTTTTTTAAATGTCTTTATACGCTTTTTTGCACCGAGAGAAAGGAATAATCAAAATTATTGAGCAATATTCCAGCCAAAAATTGGTGTGCAAGTTAGGGAAAAGGGAAAAAATTACTATTACTTTAACAGTAAAAATTACTACAAGGTCGATTGTCCAGTACTCGGTCATTCGGCTGATTTTTCCAGTATAAATTTTCCAAGACATAGATAAATCGGGTATCTATTCAGACTTTTTCAATGCAAATTGACGTGTATACACTCAATTGGAAATACTTTTCGTCTTATACATCCACATCCACCTTATTCTGGAACAGTAAAATTTATTAACCGATCCTTTTGTTTCGGCATGGTAATTTTTTCCTTTATCCCCAACTTGCATCCCGATTAGCAGTGCGGAATGGTAATTTTTCTTGAAATTTTTTTTTTTTTTTTTTTTTCTCTTTCGATGCGCAAATCAAAAAGCACATGTGTATACAAGGGTATATACCTGGACCCGGAGCGCGGGACGTTGCGGGGAAGGGCGGCGAAAGCCCCGTCCTCGACGAAGCTCACCTCGGCGTCGTAGCTGGCGTCAAACTCCGCGGAGCAGCCCCAATTGACGGCAGTGGCCTCGCTCGAGTTTCTGCGGCGCGTCTGCTCGATCACCCGGATCCCGTTGTAAATAATATCGGCCATGCAGCCCCTCAGGTACTCCGTGTGACCTGAAACACACGAGCGCCCACGGTTCGAAACTTTCCACGGCAAAAGAGAGGGAAGGGCATTAAAAGGGGGGGGGGGGTTGTTGTACCACACCATCTGTACGCCCTATCGCCCACGTCCGAGTCTCCTATCTCCCCTCTTCCCCGTACCCTTACCATATTCAGTCGTTATATTAATGAGTTGCAGTTATAACGAGCCGGTGGTTGGTGGCCCCGTACGCCGAACTTTCGACCCCCATTGGCCCGGTGTATATAGATACCCACGTCGCGTGTAATGCTAAACCTAAGTAGGAAAGTCCGATTATACGCGTACAACGTGAACGGGCGCTTGCCTACAACTGCTACGTACACCACCCCTGCCGTCCTATAAGCACTAACAGTAACATCAAAGCCGATCGCTTTGGCTCTTCCTCCCCCCCCCCTCCCCCCACGACCGGCAACTTGTGAGCGCTGCCATTATATTTTCGCGCGACAAGAGCCGACGATGATACTTTTTTTGTTTTTTAATCGAGTGCGTTCGCTGTTGTTTCGTATAGGCAATCCGAGCCAGTTGTACGATGCCCGCGATAAGGTGGAATTCTTTACATCGCGGCTCGAGTTTCCTTACCCCCTCCTTCGGTGGGAGAACTCCAAGTGTCCTAATAGGAGGAGGATCGAGGGGACGGTCGGCCAGATGCCTAACCCCAAACCCAAATAAAAGAGAAATTCGCGCTCCATGAATATGTAAATTGAAAATTTTCGGCGCTCCCTCTCGCCGGTGTTGTAGCTGCGCTTGCCGCCGAAGGGGGATTTGCCATTGTGCGCGCGAGTTCTTACTGTAGTTGTTGTTTGCGTCGATCGCATTGAATTTGCAAGCTCGGAAAACGAGAGCCTGTCGTCCCGGGATACGTAAAAGGAGGGGGGGGGGTAGAGCTAATAATCCCGAGGAGAACGATGGGCGCGTGTGTGCTTCGTCTGGAAAATGAGATTGCCCGCGGGTGCGGGGCTCGGTGTGTCTTTTGAATTTTTAAGCTCTTGTCGACGCTCGCGCGCGTGTGTGTCAATGGTGATGGGCATTTCGGAGATTGTCTGGTCGATTCGTCGTCGACTGAGTTTTACCATATTGGATGAAGAGGTTTTTTAATAATACAAAAAAAAAAATTTGATTTGTCAAATACCTTGTGGTATCTTGGGACGACATAATACCTGTACTCACCTGCACGGAAGAAAAATAAAGAAGATTTTTTTTTTCCAATTTGTTCAAAAAGGGCCGAGTGGGGGTAAAAATTAATATTTTTACCAACTTGAATGACGCGATGCACTCAAAACGCGTATATAATATACGTATGCTTGGGTTTGCGGCAAAATACCTTGAACCACACGATCGAACATAATTGCATGTGTTATTTTATTTTATTAAAATGATGCTGTTTGTTACGTACATCACTTACTTGTTTGTTTAAACAACTTGTTGGTACTTGAATTCACTTAATTAAAATCATGTCGCGCCAATATTTTACTCCTCATTAGATACCCTTGTTATGTACGCTGCAAAGGCTATTTTTCCATTCATACAATTTCGGAGCTAGAAAAGGGCAAAAAACGCATGCTGCAATTACTCGACCGGAACTCAGAAAAATTTCCCATACAAGTATGCACACGCGTGCATAAAACGACGAAGTACTCTGTGTTCAAGCTACATTAAATTAATTGAGTCGTTGATTGGCGAAGCGTAAAGTGCAAAACGAAAAGGTAGGGGGGGGGGAGAAACCCGCGATTAATATGAAATTCCCGCGATTCACCTTTTTGCCTTTCGTTTGAACAACCCACCTGGATTTTCGAGTCGTTAGAACCCACTCGCGCTCGCCACCTGACACACACTCCACGTTTCCGCGAACGAGTGCGCGTTTGCCTTAATTACGTTTCAATCGGCAGCGCTCGCGTGTAAGCCCCAAAGAAAGGGAGGGCCGTATACGTATACGTACGGGGGAGCTCAAAAATCCAATTTCCCGGCTCGCCCCGGGAGAGGAAAATCGCGCTTTTGATTTCAAATGAAAAGAAATAACTCCGTCAAAGTTCAAAGTAATAGCTTTCGGGAGCTCACCCCCCCCCACCCCTTCTCGCTTGAGCTCCGATCCTCCCCCGTTCGCTCCCCTGAAAAGACGCTGATTCAACTCGGGAGGAGCCCCGTGTGTATACTCCGGGCGAGCGAAAAGCGACGGGTGTAGGCATTTTCATCCCTACGTTACCTTGCGGCCAAACATTTCGTTGAACTTGGATTTCAGCTGCCGTGGACTCTTCCCTCATATAAATTGACGCGAAATGAAAAAGTGGCAATTTCCACGGGGCAAAAATTGACTTTGGTTCGTCATGATTTTCCATTTTCGCTTCGCAAGATTATTTTAATAAACGAAAAAACCCCGCTCCGCGGAAGCGTATGACGGTAAAAAACGAGGAAAAGAAAAAAAAAAAAAAAAAAATGGCCTCTCCGAATGAAAATTTGTTAGGAGAGAGCGACAGTGTCGGAGCGTGGCAGTGGCAGCTGGTCGGGGCGAAATAACTAACGTGTACATACGAACTGTTTCAAAGGCACAAATCGCGAAAAGACAGACGCGCGTAATCGTAAATGAAAACCGCACGACGCGTCAATTCCGTTTAACTTCTCCCCCGCCACACCCATCGTATGTATATATACGGGGTGAAGTGAGAGCGTACAGTCTATATCCGCGCTGGTGCAATTAGATCGATGAATTCGGTGGGGTATTTGTCAAAGGACAATGGGAAATCCACTCGCTTTGCTCGTTCGTCCGCTGATGCGCGAAAATCTGCACAACTCGCTCTGGTGTATCCTTCGGAATTCATGCGGAGCATTTTTTTCTTTTTTTTCGCCCTTTTGTTTGCGCGCTCGCGCGCTTTTGCTCTCTTTTACTTTTTTTTTTTATTTTTTTTTATTTTTCCTGCCTTTCTTCCGCTGCACGGTTTTTTCCTTTCATTTTCATTTTTTTTTCCCACCACAACGGGCCTATGCTCTTCGTTTTCTCTTCTTCCCGTTTCGCGCGCAGGATATTTCGGCCGGAAAGAAATCCGATGCTATCTTTGATTTTTCCGGATTCGTGTCTTCCCCTCTTTGTTTGCTTATTTTTTTTGTCTTTCGTGGTACTTTTGTAAATAATTATACGGGTGTCCTTCTATGATTTACGTGTATATTCATAACACCGCGACCGGCTTAGAGCGTAAAATTGCGTGTCAGTGGACAAAGCATTATTAATGTACCTCCGTTTCGCTCATTCCCTTTGAAACACTTTCCCGCGACCAATGGAGATATCGTCATAATTAAACCATCGAACCGAGCTAAAGTGTATTTTTCCTTTTTTTAGTCCATCGGTAGTCCAATTAACACCAGTCGCTGGTAAGCTTATAAGCTCGCATGTACCGTCCCCTTTGAAATCTTTTTCGGTGCGATACGTCACGCGGGCGCGTTTGAAAAATAAATCTCGCTCGGTGTACCAGGTGTGAAGTTTTTTTTTTTTTTTTTTTTTTTTGTATGAAAGCACGCGTATTAAAAATACAGAGAGGCTGTCGGAAAAAGGAGTTTTCCGGCTCGCGTGACGAATGAATCAAGCCCCACCCGTTTTTCTTCCGTATCTTTTATATTTATTATCACGGTGCGCTCAAAGGTACACCCACACGCGTAAAGATCGCACGTGCATTCGAAAAATTTAAATCTAGGCGCGCGAAAAAGGTGTACGTGTAAAACAGAGAAGGGGGTCGAAACTGTACGTAATCAGGATCGGTCATCGGTAGGCAGGGGGGCCTCCCGTTCCCGGTTTTTTCCCCAGTTTTTTCACGTCCGATATATATTCTCGCGAATTTGCCGTCGTGCTCACGCTCTTCCTCTTTTTTTTTTTTTTTCTCCCCGCACTGTCGGTCGGTCCAACTCTCTCTTCTTTTTCCCTCTCTACGTGCTATTTTTCCATTTCACCGGTCCGCGCGATACATGCACTCGGTACCGCGTACACACCGAGGTGGCAGTGACGGGGCGAGCTGGCACGGCAGCTTGATCGGGACGGGAGATTTCTTGATGTGCTCGGGGTGCGCCCAAATGTTCATACATATACGTATATTTTGTTCCGCGGAGTAAGATAATCTACCTCTGATTGAATAACTCCCGGGCCAGCGAGCCGGTGCTGGACCGTACCCGCATAGGGGCGTTGGAGGATAATTGATTTCCAATTAATCGCTCTCCTCCTCGCGCCGCGTGGGCCCGCCTACACAAAACTGCACGAAATAAAAAAAAAAAACAACAACCTGCACTCGGTCGTGGTTTTCATATGGTAATTTTTTTTTTTTTCACATTGAAATGGGGGAAGATAAGAGAGAGCCGCGTATCATTATACGGGTCGGATGCGCTTTTGTGTTATTTATCGAGTTACGGAAGAAAGAAACAGATAACAATTTTCGATATCGGTGTACTTTTGTTTCGCAACCCTTTGGATAATGGATTTAATCGATTGCACGAGTAAAAAAAAATACCCGCATCTGCTTGATTTCCCCCCGCAGTGGTTGATTAATATCGTGTACGCATGAAAATGATCAATCATCGATACACAACCATGTGGATTTATTGATATTGTATTTTGATGAATAATAACAATAATATAGATGGCAACGTGACGTGGTATACGAACCGAGAAATAGCTCGCTGAGCCTGCCCTGTCCGCCGATGTAGACGCCAAAGTTGATGTTGAGCTCGAAGAATTTGCCGGGCAGTACGTCGCTCACCGAGTGAATAACGTCGATTCTCAGGGTTATATTGGCGTCGCGCCTCGTTAGGTTGACCTCGTGCCAGCTGAGGTCGTTGAGCTTCAGTTCACGCGCGCTCGCCAACTCCTTCTCACCCGCTCCCAGATTTATGTGGACCTTGACAGACAGACAGACAGACACGTGAGTCCTCGGTTGGATAATAGGGTACATCATATCCTATACATGTATATACTCTCCTCTCGTTACCTGTTATACCTTCCTCTCTATATGTACTTCTTTTTTTTTCTCTCTCTCTTATCGTACACTCGCGGGAGTCGTGCGCTTATATACATATATATGCGCGTATCGAGTCGCAGCGCAAAAAAAGGAGATCGATCCTCTCGTAATTACGCGGCGTCGGCGTCTCTTCGTGCTCATCTCGATTGAAAAACTTGAGACGTGTATATATATATATATATATTTTATATACGAGTAACACTCTGTACATTTCCGTCTCTCGGGAGTCCTCTTTCCCGCTTTTTTTTTCCTTCTCCTCCCTTTAAATGGCGCACTCGACGGCTTTTTTGCCCTCCAACGCCCTCGCGTCTTTGTCGCCGCAAAGATCAGAAAACGCTTCGAGGAGCGTGCACTCGAGATAAGTGTATATACGTAGCCCCAGTGTACACGGCTGTATTTCATATATATATACACTTATTACGACCAAGGGGGTTTGATTCGGTCGGCGCATCGAGGGGGTTGTATATATGTATATAGGGTACAAGAGCAAAGAGGGGTTTTTTTTTTTCTACATCGATCGCGCTACATTATACGCTGCTGGAATTTACAATGTGTACTTTTATTACGTATGTATATATACACGTGTATGGGAGCGCGTGCGAATATTTACGGGACACCCACGGCTTGGAGGGGGAATATGTTATGATTATGAGTCGCATAATCTAATGTAAATTTGGTAACGTTCTTTAAGACGCGCGGGCGAGAGCGAGCATAATAATGTGTATACCTAGCGTGCCCGTGGTAGGAGGGGGGGGGGTTGGAAAAAAAATGAGATTCCCGGGTCGCGAGGAGGATAACGGAAGAGTAAGAGGCGCGCGAAAGAGAGAAGAGGCCGAGGATGGGGTGGAGATCCATATATGCAAATAAATGTGTACGAAGCCGATAAGACACGTCTCTCGGTGGATACCACGTATATGTGTGTGCACATGTATAAAAGTACTGGTAACATAACTTTGACCGTATTTTTTCAGTGTACACACTCGGTGCCCCTTTTTCTCTCTCGTCCCTCCGTACTACATACAGCCCAAAGGGGTCAAGTATTTTTTCCTAAATTTATGTTTGCTCATGCCCCGCGCACATAGCATATGTATACGTATATATATATAGGTGTGTCGCGGAGAGGACGCGAGAGCCCAGGGCTATTGACAAATAAAGCGTTGGTTCTTTCTGGCGCGCGTTTCTTTTTCCCCGCAAATTTGATGTATATATGTATACGTATAAAAAAGCGCACAGCAGCTGAAAAGGGGAAAAAGGGCCGGGGGGGGGGGTAGAGAAGACTCGTCTAGGTATCGCCGGGGGCGCTTTTAATTAAAAGAAAAGAGCCCCCGTGTTCCCGTTTTATATTTCAATGCAAATAGGCAGTCGGTGCGGTTTCAATTTCGGAGGACTGCGCTTTGACGAGGGGGTTTATAGGGAGAGGAGGATGAAAAAAACCCCGAGGAAAGGGAACGATAAAAGATTGGAGGGATGACAATGCAAATAATCCGTCGATATGAGAATCGTTGCTCGACGTGCCTCTCCCGTCTCCGCGCGACCGGAGAAATTGGCCCCCGAACACCCTAGTTACGATTTCTTCCCCCCCCCTCCTCCTCCTCTTGATCTCGACACGATTGGGGGTAGGGGAGAGAACATTTAAATTGCAAAAGGAAAATTTACAGCAGCCGCTCTTCTAATTTACTTTCTAGTGTAAGATCGCTCCTTTGCGATGAATATTTTAACCGGCCGGCCGGCATTCCCTCGTTTTCTATTACTCTTTGATTCTTCCTGCCCCCCCACCCGCGGAGAATTCGCGCTATCATCGTGACTCGGTGGCTTTTTGCTCTCCCCCTCCTCCCCTCTGCGCAACGAGCCTTTTTGCAGAATTAAAGCAATTTGTTGGATTACAGTGGAAAATTTGCAATTCCCCCTCCATAATCCTTGAAAGGAAAGGAAACGCGAGTCAGCGAATAGGGGAGAGGGGGGCAGTTTTTTTCTTCCTCCGTCCCCCCACAACGAAAATGACCTTGTGCTTCTACGGGATGGAAAGTATATAGTCGAAGAATCTATATGGAAATAGCAAAGGGTCGTCTAATTACGTGTGTAGACTTTTTTGTTTAAAGTAACGCGGCTCTGACACGCTAGGGTGTTTGGAGGAAAAAAAAGGGGGGGCGTGGGGGGAAGGAATTTGTTGAGGAAGAAAAATAGAGAGAAGAGAAAAATAAGAAGAACAGCAGAGGGAAGAGGGCAAATAAACAAGATTACGGAAAGTATACACGCTGCTATACTACTGTTGTAGCCTCGGTATACATAGTGGTATACACAAGCCAGGAGGAGGAGGAGGAGTGAGAAAAGAGAGCCGGTAAAAAGTGACGGCGGATGGGATAGTAGCTGGTGTAGGAGGGAAAAAAAGCCGAGAGCGCGAGAGGAAATGCTATCCGAGAGAAATTGCTTGATCGATCGCATAGTTAACTTCTTCGCGTGGCACCTGACTGAGGGTTCACTTCCCGTCTCGTTTTTCTCGGCGCTAGTTTTATTTCCCCGTCTGACTGTCCGCCCTTGCTTCTTTTTCTTCCTTTTCTCCGCCGAGTGCGTTAAAATCTTCATCCACAGCAGTTCCACGGAGGTGTGGGGGGCGTGTAATAGGAATTAAAGTAATAAAAGTGTCACGATACACGTCGTTAGCAATTTCTCGCCCCGATACGATACACCGATACTCGCTGCTTTTTTTTTTTTCCTTTTTCCTTCGATCCCATTCCCTCCCTCTCGGGAGGGAGCGTAATAGTCTTTGTAAAATTTATGATTCAAGTTTATAAAATTGGTAACTAGCCTATTAGGGCGATGATAAAAAGATGACGGATAAAAAGTGCGAGGTACAAGTTGCTTATTACAACCGGTGGATCGATAAATCGATAATCCCAAGATGCAAGAGGTGCTACTATACCGAAGGGAAAGACGAGGGGGGGGGGAGTGGTGTACAATAATTGAGTCAATTAGCTTAAACCGGTGGCAGCGGTGGTGGTGGTAAAACTGATAAAGAACGGCAGGGGAGGACAAGGTAGACAGCTGTTAGCGCTTAGGGTGCGCTGCGTTGAAACGATCAAGAAGCCATTTATTTTTGCCCCGGGACTTTGCGCGCCACGCCGGAGGAAAAGTGACTATCTCCCCGAGACCACGACGCGGCCTCGATGTATACTACATATATATATATACTCCTCCCTTTAAATGGCGCACTCGACGGCTTTTTTGCCCTCCAACGCCCTCGCGTCTTTGTCGCCGCAAAGATCAGAAAACGCTTCGAGGAGCGTGCACTCGAGATAAGTGTATATACGTAGCCCCAGTGTACACGGCTGTATTTCATATATANTTTTTTTTTTTTTTTTTTTTTTTTTTTTTTTTTTTTTTTTTTTTCCATAATTACTTTGCCGGCAGCAGTAGCCGCGAAATTGTTCGTTATGATAATTCGCAGCAGTGCTCCCTTGCTCGCGCGCAGTAAGGGAAAATTTAATAACAAACTCGAAGCGCTACAAAATGTATATATAAGTGGAATTCGAGGGGGTCGAGAGAGCCCGGGCTGGCCGAGAGAGAATATAAAATTTAATTTATCGCGCGAATTCGCCGTCAAAAACGCCAGCCTCCCTCCGGCCGCGTCACTGTCGTATGTGCATGTGTGTGTGTGTGTATAGGTGTAAGCGTATATTTATACACTCGGGCGCGGCTGGCAATTAAAATTTAACTAGTGCGCCGTCGACGACGCGCTTATTAAAAATAAAATAAATTAACAAAAAAAAAAAAAAAAAAAAAGGCGGGGGTTGGACGAAAAAGTGGGTGTGACCGATAGCGACGATTATTACCCCGCGAAGGAGACGCCGGCCGAGTCGAGAATATTAAGAGCGAAGGAGAAGAGAGAGGCCACGGGGGAGAGATTTTTTGAGGCTATTTATAAGTCGAGTCGCGCGCGTATAACCATTTACACGCGCAATGGCAGCAATAGTGGGTATTAGGGTGGAGGGGGCGAAGGAGGGTCGTCGGTGTTTTCGGCCGCGTGTAATTGTAATAACCCGTCGATTTCACGGACGCCCGCGCAGGGAGTACGTGCCGGGGCGAGAAATTTCCTACGGCCTTCTGGGGCTTTTGTACGCTTGGAAAGGGAGTATGGAAGGGGGGAAAAAAACAACACAACAAAAAACTACCCCGTTGTCGTCGTCGTCGCCTCCTCATCTCGATCCTCCATAATGTATACTACTACATTGTATACCTACTCCAGTGTGTCGACGACGACCCTTGGTGTACTTGTGTATACATGTATATATACGCGCGGAGACGGAGACTCACTCTCTCGGAGACAGTAACAAAGAGATTGCGAGGGATACTCTTTCTCGAGTCGCTCTCGAGTTGCTTAGAGTGCTGTTGTTTATTTCCTTCTTCCCCCCTGTTTTTTTTTTTTTTTTTTTCTTCTTCTTTTTTTTACCAACCCTCCCATCTCTCTGTGTCTTTTGCTCCTTCCTTCTTTTCCTTCGAATATGGATTAGATGCGCAGAGTGCCGTGGTAGGTGTTGTTTTGGTCGGGGGACACGGGCATTTCGGACCGTAAAAAATGCCGGCGCCCTCACGGATCTTTATTTATTTTTCTGTTTTCCGGGAAGGCGGCCCTTTTTTTTTCTTCCATTTCGCGCGTTTTATTTTGATTAAAAAAAAAAAAAAAAAAAAAAAAAAAAAAAAAAAAAAAAAAANTTTTTTTTTTTTTTTTTTTTTTTTTTTTTTTTTTTTTTTTTTTCCTAAAATTGAAGAACAATACAACGCCGAAATTGCAGCGACAACGGAGCGCGGAATAAACCAGTGGTCTTTTCACCAGTGGCCGACTAATGGATATATATATACCCAGGGACACTTTGCGCGCTGCACGAATAGTACACTGCATATTTATATACACGTCGTACAGAAGCGTTTCGGCCAAAGTGTATACCGTTAGCGAGCTTTTATCTGCGCCCACCGCGTCGACTAAAACTGATGGACAACGAGAGTCTCGTACTACTGTTTTAAAAAACACGCGCGAGTGCAGGATCAGCGAGCGTATACCTATACACGCGAGGGAGAAAAGCAGAGTATATACATATATATGGCCCTCGAGAGAATTTCGTTTCAATTACCTTTTAGCGCGCGAATTAATGTATATATACGCCTATTTAATCCGTAAGGCGCGAGTGAGGAAAAAAAAAAAAAAGCTCCAAGGAGCCAAGGGAGCGGGTGCTGTGTGTAGGATTTCGAGGGCGTCGAAAGCACTCGAGAAAAAAAGCTGCGGTCCTATATATATATATACGTACACACTACATACATCAGAGGAGAAGGAGACCCAGAGAGAGGGAGATAAATAGAAAGTGAAGTGGCTCGACCTCCGAGATTTTCCCATTGCCCGGCGGCTCTCGCTGTGTGTGCACGCTCCACTATATACGTATACACATGCGTCGCTATTGCCGAGGAAAAGCCGGAAAATAGGCCGAGTCTGCCTCTCTTTCTTCTTTCTTTTTTTTTTTTTCTATCCCTGGAATTCCCACCAGCGACGATTTCGTTTCTCTGTTCACCTCCTCTTCCCTCGATCCAACGCGTATATACATAGCGCTGTGTGCTCTGACACGTTCAAAAAAGCTCCAGTGCTCCTTTTGGATCTATTTATTTATGTCCTTCCACCCAAGCAGTAGACGCGCTTAATATTTAATTATTTTAAGTTCGGCTCAAAGGCTATACGAGAAAAACTACCCCCTCCAACCAACACCTATCGACGGGTTCTCGTTTATATGCGCCAGAGAAGTACCATCAATATCTCTCTCACGGGAGCAATTTCTTTTTTTTTTTTTTTGGGGGGGGAGGGCAAACATCGTTTTTTCTCGGGATGCGTCAAAAATACATGTGCGCGTTGATGTAAAATACGAACCTTCAAGCCTCCAGACTCGAGCTTGATCAGGCAATAATCCGTCCTACCGGCGGTCAATAGCAGCATCGCGTCAGCCAGATGCGTGCGGAATCGAAAGCTTATGTCGGTGGCACTCCTCGCCTCCTGGACTGACAGATGGATGTAGCTCGCTCCGTAAAACGACGCTGTAACACACGACATCATATACATACATATACATGTCACACAAGTTCTGATGCGTACCTCATACATTCGGGGCACGTGTATCTCTCTCTCTCTCTCTCTCTTTTTTTTCATACACGAGAGTGTGAGGGTGTGTATGTATACCTGAAGTACACCTATCATACACGCGTTCGTTTTTATCGCCACACATAAATATCCCTATTTTATGGGTAAACCCGTAAAAAAGGAATTGAGGGCTCTATGGGAGTGCGCGCGTGTTGCGAAAGAGCTCAACGAGCAAGTAAACACGAGGACGGAGCTGGAGCTGGAAATGAAAAAAAAAAAAAAAAAAAAAAACAAAAAAAAAAACGCCCGGAGAGGGTATCAAATTGATCGCCCGAGTAATTTTTAAATCTGGCGGTGAAGGAGAAAAAATAGTACACATATATATAGTAAGTAAAGCCACAGTGAGACGCGTTAACACCTCGGACCCCCCCAGGATGTGGGGGGAGGGAAAACACATTGCTGCACGGGGAAGACGCACGAGCTTTCGAATTTTCCATTCTAAACACGTACGCGCGGAGGAGCTATCGCGCACACACCCATATACATGGCGAAGGAGGAGGATTCGCTCGACCGGCCGTCGACTAAAAGCAGCGATAATTCCATCGCGGGGAGTAAAGGGGGGCTAAAGATTTCAAAACTTTTCGTACTTTACGAGGCGCGAAGAGCGGAAAGGGGGTGGGGGGAGGAGAAGAAACGAGAGCAAGTTCGTCCCGCACGGATTTTCGACCGTGCAGGCGCCGGTCTGCCGAGCACTTGCTGCATACTTGCACTTGACGAACGCAAATTATTTTTCGATGCAGCCGCCCCCCCCCCTTGCGGCTCTTTAACCAGTATTTTTGGCTGTTTTTCTCGAGTGATGCGTATATTTATAACGCGCGAGCACGAGGATGCTTTTACTCGGGGAATATTTCCCCCCCTGGAATAATTATTCCATTATACTTTATTTCGTCGGTAAATCGTGATGGTACATGTATACACACGGACGAGGTGGGGGGGGGTCAATCGTTTCATTAAAGTGAGGTCCCTCTGGGCCCCCCTCGTCGATCGTGTCGCGATTTGAAAACACGACGAAAGTCAGGATTTTATTTATTGATTTATTCTTTCACTCTCGCCGGGGGACCAGCGCAGCATCACGGGACACATGTTGGCGAGGGAAAAACAGACGGACGATGAAAACTGCTGACGAAAAAACAACAACGCGGAGCATGACGCGCTTACTATAAAATATATACACCAGCGTACGGGTGTACGTGTATGAATGATTTGATACACACGGGGTGCGGGGGGGGGGGTAGGAGGCGCGCGACATTAATCTTGCATCGAGCTAATAAATTCATCCATCAAAAAGTGGGCTGAAGTCTCTGCTGCTGCTGCTGCTGCTGAGCGCACGAAATTCATTGGAAAAAATCACATAAATCACGCAGAGCCCAGGCTGAGAGTGAAAGAGAGAGAGAGAATAGGCGGAGGGAGGAGCACTTATGTATAAAAGTCAAGAAGCGCATGGGTACGGAAAGGAAATTTTTTCGTTTTTTTGTCCCCCCCCCTCCCGAACCCGATCGAGAGAAAGCAGCTTCCCAAAGCGTATACACAGCGCCCACTCGACAGCTCCCACGTGTGTATGTACGTTTTATATTATATATGCAGCGGTATATCGAAAAGAGGAACGAGAGGTTGATTGAATGTTTTTATCTGTTGGTGCTGCCGTTGGGCCAATCTCTCTTATTCTGGTCCTTTCTCTCTGCCGTCCTCTATTTTTCATGCACTCGTTTTGCTGAAAAAATATATATACACGTGCACGTTATTCCCGTGCAACCGTATATATATGCACGATACGGGGCTCGCCTCCCGCTATTGAAATTTTTCGTACTTTTGAAGTGGACGCCGGCCACATGTATATGTGAAAGGCAACGGTGCGCGTGATATTTTAGTTTTCCCCTTTCTTTTATTTTCTACGGAACTTTTATTTCGACCGTCCACCCCCTGCCCCCGAAATAACCCACAATATAACACACGGAGCCATGGCCCTCCATTCACTGCAGGTACATTCAAATCTATCGGCATGATTCATGTGTAATAATGATGATGACGATGTCTGATGCTATGCGTCGTTCATCGCGCGCGTGTATAAACACGCGCGAGGGGATGAGGAATTAATCGCATTCACGAGCAACACAAATGCCTTTTCGATTAGCACGACTTTGCAGAGATGTGTATACCTACTTTGTATAAAAAAAAATTTTATGGTACAAAATCGAGTCAAATCCATACTCATTTAATACATATGTATCAGGCAATCGATACGATCGCTGGTTTATCATTATTTATCGTGTATAATGCCGTTTCGAAAATTACAGAGTTTATTCTATATTACGCGATATTAATACATTATTATTATTATTATTTTTTTTCTATAGCGAAAGAAAAAAAGGACAAAAGGGAGTGGAACAAAAAAAAATTGAAATCCACGCAAATAGGCTCTCGCAGCTGCTGGATTACGAATCGCGAGCCATTGGTTTTTATTAATTAAATTCGCCGTGCCATTTGTGCTCAACCNAAAATTAAAATAAATTAACAAAAAAAAAAAAAAAAAAAAAAAGAGTAATAAAAGGGCTCAAGTTTCGACAAAACGCAATTTACATTAATCTCCCGGAGTTGGCGCATAAAAGAATTTCCAAAGCGTAGATGTGTGTGCGTGGGGAGCTGTGGGGGGGGGGCAAAGTTTGCAGTAAACGTCCAAGTTCCGTAAACTCTCTGCATTCGCATGCTCATGCCCACGTACCTGTACGTGTGTGCACGCGCTTCTCATATCATATGTATACCACCGTCGCGTGCTCGGCGTCGTCGTCTCCTCTTGCATGCTCGCGCGTTTTATTCCCATTCTACAAGTGATTCGAGAGAAGCGCGTTATTCAAGTCGCAAAGTGTATAACTTCACACGGACCATTAAGCGCCCGAGGGTCTTTTGCTATTCTTCTTCCCCTCGCCCCCCATGACTCTTTTTTTTTTCCGTACGGAATAAAAATTTCATCCTCCCGTCGAATCCCTTTCGCGATATTTTTCCCCGCCCCTTTTTTTTTTTTTTTTTTTTTTTTCACTCACCCTTTCTCTTTTACCTCCTCAACTCCACCCCATCCATTCCTCCTTGGTCGTAGACGTAGACTTTTTCCTTTTTCCCTCGGTATCGCTGTATATTATGCTATTTCAGACGCATGAATGTCGATAAGTCGATATACCCGCGAGCGAGAGTGTTTCCAAGAGGAGTCTCGCGGCGATGATAAATTTTATGTTCCCCCCCGATAATTCGATTCTTTCTTCCTTTAAGCTTGCAAAGAGCTCTTGGTCGAGCTATTTGATTATTAATACTCGTTGATTTTATATTCCTCTGGTCGATTTTCGTTTCGATAGATTCGCGATTATATGGCCCTGGGTTTTAATCAAACGGCCGGCGGTGATGTGCCGTTTTCGAGTGAAATTTCAATGACCGGTAGCTCGCGTATAGCAACTCGATACTCTCGTCGAATCAAAGAAAAATAAACGCGTGTCGGTGTGTAATGAATACGGGCACGCCGGTGGTAGATATCCATACCCAAATGCGGTTGTGTGGAAGACACGTGATGTGTATAATGAAGCAAGTTGCAAAAGCAGCCCCGAGGGTTGTTGCATTGGGTTCGGCTATTTGGCGCCAGCGTGAAAGGTTCGATTCTCGCGTGTTTTTGGCCGTGTCATTTGAGATACTTTGATGTTGCGTGCAATAGATAACAATCGCACGTAGGTATATACACATATGCGAACAATGTATCATATCGCGGGTGGATGCTTTTATTAAAAGGACGAATGCTTTATTTCGGTAGACGCGTTATTGAATTCGGGTGGGGAATGGCTTGAAATTGCTCACTAGAGATTTTTCTTCTCCGAAGCGTTCGAGTGTCAAGAGAATACATGTATACATTGCCGAGATTGGTTTTGTTGAAAATTTTTTCGTTTAATCGGATAATCAATGGTTGGACATTATTGTACAAGATATGACGAAAAATTTCGTCATTTTTATTTGTTCGTGCGATTGAAAAAATATTTTTTGCTTCGCTCGTTGAAGTCAAACTCATTTTTATTGAATTAAATTGAATTAAAATACGTAACGAAATAATACAGTTGCATTAACACTCAAGCGAGTCACTAACTGATAACATTTCGTAATGTTAATTGCAACGGATTATTTTATTACATTGAAACACAAAAAAAAAATTAAAAAAGTATTATCATACAATAAAGCTAAAACTACAATTAAATTGAAACTTTGTTACAGTTATTGTTTATGGTTGTTTTAAGTTTCTTTACAAATAGACTTGGGCACGAATATTTTTTTAATTACTTTTTCCTAACAATAATGCTTCGTCAATGCTAAAAAAAATTTTTTTAATTATTACTCATAACATGGTACTTAACTAAATTTAAAAAAAACGTGTTAAAATAATTTGAAAAATTATTACTTTACAATGAAATTAAATGTGAAAAATGTATTACAGAAAAAAACATTTTTTCTCAACATTATAAATATATGGTGAAAAAAAAATTTTTTATCAAAAAGAATTATCTTTTTGTTTTCAAGGATGCATGAAACATTTGCGTTCAAGTCTGACTATCAATTCACAAACTCTTTTTATATCCAATGGTTATGTACATAATTTTCTACCAAACGCATTTCTTTGCACAAAAAATTATTCTTTCGCAAATACTTGTTTAACGCCATTTCATTGGAAACTTTATGTATTCCATGAGTCAAAATGTTGTCACAGCAATACTATTTCAGCCTCTTGCGCCAAAATATTGCCTCAGACGGTCATACAGGAAAACAGTTTGTAAAATAAACAATAATTATCTACAATAAACAATGACGACTCTTATCTTATCTACCCTCTTTGATCGCTTGGGGAATGGAGGAACGAACCGGATTGAGGTGT